CAAGAAGATCATTGTTAGAACAAATATTTACCGCACGGTAGACAAAAGACCGAAAAGCTGCAAGTTTTTGGTTGGGAGGATTTGTAGTGAGGGGGAAGAGAAACAGCAAAAGGTTTACGAAAGACAGTAGTATGGAATGAATTATCATTCCGAGTCACAAGCACATCTAAGAAAGGAAGTTTTTGACAAGTTCTTAGTTTTTTTGCAACAATCATGTAACCAACAGCTACAATTTCCTAGGGATTTTTGGTTTGCAAGTGGATAACAAACTTAGTAAGAATGGAAAATTTGTATGTTTGATGTTTAAATTTTTTATGTTGTTTTTACATTAACTTAACATTTATAATTTCATACCGGAGGTTTTTGTTTACATAGAAACTGAATAGAAATAGAATGTTAATGTAATTAATTTTATAAAAATTCAAAAAGCTTTTTTTTTTTTAAAAAAAGTTTTGTAAAATAAGTTTAAGGGGAACTGGAGGTCTTAAAAAGTTTTATTAGTTCTGATTAGAGGTAAGTTTTGGATAATTTGATATAGGTTGGGCTTGAATTTACACATTAGCATCAGGCTTCATCATACACTCAATTTTAGTAATAGCTGAAACTCTCATGAAAGAATGAAGAACATAAATTTATTCTTATACAGATGTGAGTAATAATTCCTTCAAAATAGTAAGACAGAGAATGTAAAAGAGGAAAGGCAATTTATTTATAGAGTTAAAGTCACACCTGCGAAAATAATAGTTACGTCTTTATTTGGTTATTAGCATGCATCCACGCGTAAAAAATAACAAAATATTAAAATTATATCTACTGTGAAAGCAGATTCAGAAGCTTTTCAATTTTCGTTGTTTATATTTTTAAATCGCAAAGGCATTTTTGGGTTATAGGCGTTTAAAAGTAAGAGGAATGCTTTTTTCAAGAAAAGCAAAAAATTTTGCTATTTTTTTTTTACTGATTCTGACCGAACTTCGAAACCAAATTTTGTTTCAGTACTGATTCTGACCAAACTGCTTAACCAAATTTTGATTCAGTACTGATTCTGAACAAACTGCTAAACCAAATTTTGTTTCAGTACTTGATTCTGACCAAACTGCTAGACCAAATTTTGTTTCAGTACCGATTCTGACCAAACTGCTAAACCAAATTTTGTTTCAGTCATTTAAACCAAATATCATTCTATGGGGAATTTACTAATTTTTAATTTTGTTGTAAGTTAAATTTGGCATATGATGCATTTTTCAGGTGTCATGAGGCAAAAATTTAGCTTTTTTTTTTTGTTGGTTCTCAAAAGCTGAGCTTATTTTATAAACAGTCGCAAACACATATTATTCTTGTTCGGAATGCCCAAAGAGAAATTAATTCGAAGCACTGCGATCTAATTTGACTGAGCTGCACTGCAATATCTTGATTTTTAACAGCTATGCCAGTAATATATGGGTGATTGTGAGCCCAAGTCGAAATCCCAGAAAATCTCTAGAGTTTAAAAAAAAAAGAAAGTTTAAATTGAAACAAAATCTAAAACAAGTTTCCCCCCCCCTTTTTTCAATATTTCTTAGTTTACGTAAGATATATTTGAAACTTTACACATACCTATGACCTGGAGAAGTAATTAAAATTTACAAATATGTCTTTCTTTCTTGAGTTAATGATTATAATAACTACTTACTGATGAAAAATGAATATTAATCATGAATATAAGCTTATAAAGTATCTCTCTGGCAGAGTGGAGCANAAGTTCCACCTTTGAAAATTTGATTTCCAGAAACTTCTGTGATGAATGATTTTTTGAAACGTCTGGACCTTTGATCTCTGGAAACTTCCGGATCACTGTTAGTGAAAAATCCGGAAATCTGGATTTTTTCCGGAGCACAATCAGCCCTGGTAATAGGTCTCACTGTGGGTCTCAATTGTGAAAAGAGCGAGATAATCGTAAATCACTCTGAAAAAAAAACTGCAGAACTAGATTCAATGGCCTCTAGCGTAGTTGAGATAAAGAACGAAACTTGGGTATAGACTACGGTAAAGTGTGGAAGTTATCCAAAAAGAACCAAGTAAACAGCTCTCTTGAGAGAGAGTGTGTGTGGGGGGGGGGCAGACTATCAAGCAAGGTAGGCCTGAGAGCAAAGTGAGTTAGGCAGGCGTCTTAGAGATGTTAAAAAAAATCTTAATCTTAAAAAAAAAAAAAGTAAGGAAGATCTTATAAAGAAAAGTTAAAGAATACTTACAAATATTAAAATTAAAAGTTTAGCTATTATCTGACATATTATGCGTCATTTTTTTTAATATCAGTCGCTGAACAGCCGACCCAACTCCGTAGCCTTGTAGTTTTGAACCAATCCAGAATACAAGGAAACTCCTGGATCAGTACCCCCAGAGGTATGATTTGTTATGGGAACATGGAGAACTTAGCGACTTGACAGATTTAACGTGCATCAGTCACCATTTACTACGAGGGGAGTCTTCGGCCGGCGAAGATCGAACCTACGACCTTTTGGACATGGGCCAGTGCCCTACCAACCAAGCTATACCGGCCATTATGTGTTATTTTAGGAAGTATTTACTTTTTATTTTATAACCGTCGTTGAACAGTCGACCCAATTTTAACTTTATGGCTACCAATGTTCAACGCCGTAGCCTTGTAATTTTGAACCCAATCCAGAACACAAGGAAACTCCAGGATTGGGAGAAATTTTGCACTCATGGAGGATTTTTTGATGGAACTAACTCGCATTTGCGTTACGTGGAGAGGCAAACCACAAAAATCTTTCCCAGTTAGTGTCAGACGTGAAGGAGACTCTAACCCATGATCCGTCTACCACTGAGGATATTTTACGTCAGCACTATGGTCAGTGCGAGCCGTGTGAGGAATTCGCATCGACCAACCATCGCTGGGATTCGAACCCGGTTCACCTCACTGGGAGGAGGACACTCTTATCCCCTGAACAACAAGGGCTCATTTCCTAATTGTAGGAACTTCTGGGGTTTCTATTATTCTCCAAGAAGAACGCACTTTTAGGATATTTCTAAGGAATAAACGGCCCATTGCCCTTTTTACGTGCATACTAATTGGAGAGAATATAAATCTAGTGCTATATTCAGAATAGCCATGTTCATGGGGTAAGGCACTTATTAGGGTCCCTGCTTCAAATAAATTACTTAGGAACATAAATTAAACGCGAAAAAACTATTTTAGTATTAAAATTAAAAGCAATAATTTATCCCATATTTTTTTAAGATCAAGATGAAAGTTCAAACTAGGCCGCTGAAGAAAGTGATCTTCATAGTTTCATAGGTCACATGCATGAAAACTGCCCAGATTAAAAAAAAGTGAAATAAAAATCACAATAAAAATACAATTTTTCTGAACTGTTACAACCTCTAACTAACACAAAAATAATAATAAAAGGATATAAAATTGTAGTAACCAGTGGAAATTCTATTTTATTGCAACTATTCTCTAAAATAAAATTGCAAAACTTAAAAAAAAGATTGCAATTTAAATACTTTTTTAATTTTTTTAAAAACTATGATTTTAGAGGGAACGAAAGAATTCTGTAAATATAGGGGGCTCATCACTTTGGATTTTAACTACTCTACATATTTTGTTTGAGAAAAAAAAATATTTTTTCTTTTTGAGACCTTTGGATAAATGTTGAGGTAAAATTTTTATTTCATAATTTTAAATTCATGAAGCTATACAAATATGGTTGTTAAGGCAATGCTCTTTGGCTGCAATCCTTTGCTAAGATCTCATGAGTGAAGATATAAGTAGGTAAATTGAGCAATATTTCAAATATGCTTTGTTTATATCCATCACTCCATATAAGGGGTATTTCAGCAAAGAAGACAATGTAATGAATAACACCGGTAATGAAAGGCAAAGTGTTGGTAAGTGAGAGTAAAATACAATCGGATCTCTATTTAAGGAAGTCGCTAAATTACGATAAAAAGTTCGTTGTATGGAAAATTCATTAAATAGAAAATTACCATTTGAAACACTAAAACAGGTTTTAAATTTCTAAACACTAGACATAATAAAAACAGCAATTGATACACCTTTACCTTGTAAATTATTATCTACTATCGAATTGTTTCAAATGATTTTAGATTTTATCATATGAAGATTTGGTGATTTCTTTACCATTTCTGTCTTTGTCTTTCTCACAATTTATTGCTGTGTTGTTTTTATTTTTCATACTGTCCAAAATATCCGATTCAGTTAATGTTTCTGTGGTTGCAGCTTCAAAATCAATAAAAAGAAAATCATTAATCAGCACATCATCATTAATTTCGTGGTTTTCTCTTAGCTGTACCCAACTTTTTTTAAGTTCCTCTAAAGGAACGTCATCCACCCCCTCCGCACTTTCCAAATTCTCTGTGCTGACTAAAAATCCAGCTTTAGCAAAACTGTTACGAACAGTACGATCTGTAACTTCATAGTTTCATGCTTCAAAAAATTTCTGTTATGCTTTCTCGTAAATTTATTTCTGGCATGGATTCCTATGAAATGCAAACAAAAAGAGAAAAGGTCATTTCCCCCATAAAATGCGTTAACAAGTTTGAAATGTTCCGAAATATTTTGGGAAAGTGGATCTTAAAGAAAAGTACGTTAAATAGAAATTTCACTTAGCTGTTTGGAATTTATTTTACAAAGAAATTTGCAAAATGTTCTTGGTTCCTCGAAGAAAAAAAATCTCATAAAATAGAAATTCTCAAAATGGAAGTTCGATAAATAGAAGTCCGACTGTATTTATACCTGCCGTACAAATTAATCCATATATATGGGGTTTTTAACGTGATGGATTCTTAGGCTTTGTTTGTACCTATTGCAAAAAATGTATGACATATGGGAGACACAGGGCAGACAAAAACATCACTGGTAAGGACATTCGAAGAATGTGGCATATCATACCTCAGTAGTGCAGACAGAAACATCAATTATGTTGGTAATGAGAGACAAAGTGCTGAATCGTAGTTAAAATATTTATGAGAGACAGTTTGAAATATTTACATTTTTTTTTTATTTGGATGATTTGTTTTTATTGAAAAATATGAAAGTCAAAAAAAGTGTGTCACAGTTCGAGAGGAGGAGAGGAAGGCTGTGGACACTTTCTTATCAAGAGTGCCCACCAAAAGTTATCGCTTCCCTCGAAAAGCGAAGATTCCGAGCAGTGGCCATCAGCAGTGTGTGTGTGTGTCTCGTCTGGAAAGAGAGATAGAGAGAGTAAAAGGCAACAAGGAAATAATGGTTGTTGTTATTGTTTGTCAGCCAAAACTATCCAAAGAGAGAAAAGAGCTGCGGTCATTGCTTGTCGTCAGATTATTGACCAGGGATGATTGGTGAAAGAGTTTATACCAATTGATCACTCCTTTTGCTAGATCAATATCGTCAAGCACTATTTGGGACACACCCATAAACACCTTACGTTCTATATTACTGTAATTACCCCACACTGTCACCTGAAAGAAAAACATTTATTTAAAAAACTTAATAATCATAAACTTAACTTAAATTTTTTTTCTTACAATGCAGACTACTTTTTAAAGTAAAGAAAATAAACTTTTAAAGCACCAAAATTTAAAAATTTATGTTTAGACTTTTAAACACAGACAGGAAAATTTTTAACAGATAAAAATTTGTGGTTTTAATAAAGTTTCTTATATATGAGACAGTTACAAAATATTATCAAACACAAAATAAATAAAAATTATGCCAAAGGCTGCTATAAAAAAATTGAGTTCAAGATATAACATAATGTGAATGGATTAAAGACAGGAATATAAATTATTAAAGAAGCAAGTATGCTGAAATTATTTTTTATAATTCAAATTTTTGATAGAATATTAAAGCATTAAGCAAACTAATAAATTAAGTACGTTCAGCCATTTGCTTTAATACTTAAGTAAAGGACATATACTTCATCATTCATAATAATAAAAGAATTTATTATTGTTATGGATGTCAGAAAACGGAGTTCGTATAACGGTTTGAGAAGCGGTGTGCTAGGGTCCCAAAATTTGTATAGCAGGTGAAAAGGAGAATTTTAGTTCCCAATTCTAAAAATAGTCAGAAATTTCAATTTACACATTTGGGTGGGAAGTGCAAAAAAATAAATAAATAAATAAAATTTATAAGTTTACCATTACAAATTTTTGAAAATTAAGTTGGAAGCAAATTCTTCATTTATTTAAAATATAACATTAGAGATATTTGCTATCTCATCTCTATTTAATCAAAAAAAGAGTTACACTAAAAGATCATTGTATATTCTTTAATAATGAATTATTTTTTAATCGTAATGTTGTGTAAATTCAAGTAAAAAAATATAAATGCATAAATGGATGCAACTAAATTGGTATTTACCTGTGTTTATTTAGTTTGCAGTTACACTCTCTTGAAACATATTTTTATTTACCTAAATAATGTAAAATCAGTAGTTGGTAAAATAAAATGACGTGACACGACGTGGCTCATGAGGAAAATTTCTCAATTGTTGTTAATTTTTACTACAATGGGTTGGCTACATTCAAGAGCTTCATTTGTAGCGTCGATAGTTAATTTTTACAGTGATTCCGCTTACACGCTATAACACGTCAAATACTCCCAATATCAGAGGTGACATGAAAAATAAGTTATGAAGCATAATTCCCCAACACAGGAAAAAAATTGCATAGCAACAGATTTATGAAGGCAAAATAAAACCAAACTTTGAATATGTATACAGGGGTCTGTCTAGACATTTTGTGAAAGGTCCTGTTTTTGTAATAGTGTGAAAAAACTATTCATAATTTGTGATTATAAAATAAGTGCTAAGTCACATTCTTTCAACAAGAGTCCTGCTTTTGTGAATTTGTGCAAATAGAGTCCTGTTGCAAAAATTGCTAAAAACATTTTCAAGAAGTTTTTAAATTGTAAATAGATGCAAGATTCTGCTTAACAATTGCTGCTACTAAATTAGAGATGCGACATACAAATATTTGGTATTTAGTCTATATTGCTCAGCACAGAATATTCATTTTGGACTAATAATGGAAACAAAATCACTCACATTTTTAAATAACACAACTTAGTAATATATCACTTTTAATATGTTACGCATTAAGTAAACTTAAACAATTCTTAAATTTATAATATTTTATTCAAAAAAATTGCCAGAAATTTATTTTTATTTTCATAATATTCTATCAATTAATTTTATGAATAAATATAAATTGATTAATTATTTATTTATAAAAAAAAGATTTAATATTAATAAGAATGCACACACAATGTTTGTAAAAGTAGAAATATTTTCTTAGAATACTACATTTGGAATTTAAACTTAAGGGAAACTTAGTTTGTGTCAAACTGTCTTTCTCCCCCCCCCAGGAAGAGTTTATTTGATTAACAAAACAATAATGAAGATAAACAAATTTGAGATGGGTCTGATTAAAAGATAAAATTTTTTTTTGAAGGGTCCCTTTTTATGAAAAGATATTTTGTGAAGGATCCATTAACGGACCCAAATTCTTCTAAACAAACTCCTGATATATATATATATATATAAAAATGTCTTTTTCATTGTAGTTAATAGCCAAAGGAGAAAATTAGAATGATTCTTTGATACAGGTGTTTGAACAGTCCTAATTAAAAGCCTTGATAGTTCAAATATAACTATTTTTGATTCAAAATGCATTGTTTTGTCGATCAATAGATACAATCGATAAAAGCATATACTAATAGATGGATAAAGGGGAAAATTCATATTTTTAATAAAGACCTGCTTTTAGTAAAAAGAGACAGAAATTTGGATGTCCCAGATTCTACAGATTCACAATTTATAAAGTCTAGCAGAATCACTGCTTTATTTTAATGAATTGGGCGTGCTTTTCTCAATCTAATAAATTAAGTCCCAGGGAAGGAAACAAATAATAATAATAAAAATAAGTATTTGAACTTTTTTAATTTTGTCTTTATATAGAGATGTTCAAGATGTTCTATATCACTTGAGTACCATCATTCAATCGATTGTTGTAATGTTTTTGCTGATAGCAACCAGTTGCTTACTTTAAAATGAAACGGATTCCAACTACTTGCTACTAGTAACTGATTGATCATAGATGAAATTTCAGCAGGCAGGTAAATGAAGTGACATCAGCTTAGACATCTCTACACATTTCAGTTACGTGCATGATTGATCAGTATTAATTTTGATTTATTGCTTGTTTACTATTTCGTTTTATAATTGTGTATAATGAACGAGTATTTGGCAAGTTAAAAATAAAGTTGCAAGCTCTTAGCTTTAATAGTTAAGAATCTACAGAATTTCTTGGAGCCAACAGTAGCATAACAGCTTTTTGTTTTGATATAGAATTTTTTTTTAAAATGTAAGCAAAATGAAAAATTACCTAAGTACTGCATTTAATTATGCACTAAAACGTTTTTTTCTCCGTAATAATCATTAACTTCTTTTGTAAAGTGCTTAACGGAAATTGGTTTTCGGATACCCCTCGTATGCTGAAATGGAATTATATTTTTTATTTTACTATCAGAATTAAATAAAGTTTTCTTTTATTATACTTTTTAGATCTAAACAATAATAAATAAGCACCTTTTAAGTACTTTTCAGACACCCAAAAAACATTTTTAATCACTTTCCAAAAACAAAAAAAAACATAATTAGGATATGTGCAGTAATAAAAATTATATTTTTCTATCGTTTGAAAGTTTTTAATTTATAAACATAAAATCAATAAAATTAAAAAACATTTTCATAATTTTTACATAATCATGATAAAATACCTAGTTTCTGATAAGTTTTTCAGAAAAAATTGTGAAAATCATGCGCTTTTTGTAATTTAAAATGACAGTCGACACGGCAAAGAAAAAATCTCTTTCTAAAAGATAGAAAATTAAGCAATTTTTATAAATTCAGAATTGAAAAAAAAAAGAAAATTTAAGGGCTTTTAAAAAACGCAAATAAAAAATAAGCACCTTAAAGCACTTTTTAAAAATGCTATGCACCTTGTCTAATGGAGAAAAGTGGTATCAAGAAGGAAATGGGAATAGAAATTCAATTGATAAAAGTTTTTTTTTGTTTCTTATTTTTGCCCACCCCATAAAAAATAGATTTTTTCCCCCATTTGATATGATAGCAGTTCATGAGAGTTGATGATATTTACTTGCAAGACACAGTTCCTGAAATCTTCTGAAAATAATAATTGTTGCTGATAGAGAGGATCCAATGTCCTTCTTGCAGTGGCTGTCTTTCGCTTAGCAACACATTTCCTGCCCCCGTCTAAGAGGTACACTTTCACGTAAGGAGCTACAAGAAAATAAAACTTATGCTAAAGTACAAACTTTTATAAACATTAAGATATTAAAACAACCTATAATCCCACCAGTGGTTCTACATGTAGATAGTCCTAATTTTCTCCCTAAATACTAAAACTGTACTTAGAAAAAATCCCTGATTTTTATGAAAATGTTGAAACTACAAGTGGGTAAAATAGTGCATGCAAAAAGATAAAAAAAATGATATCAAATTAATATTTAAAAAAAAACTGCTTGAAGTAAAACCAAAGCATTATTTAAAGGCCAAATAAAAGCTTAAGTAAGTAGGAATAAGAATAAAAAAACAGAAGAAAAAAATTTGTGTCCAATTAATAATTGTCCAAAATTTAGTTAATGAAAAGAATAATTTTTTATTATTGTTAATTACTAAACATTTATATGCTTTGATTTGTAACTTGCATACACAAAGTGTTACGTAAAGTCCCTTTCTAATGAATATGAATAATGAATCAAAGAAGAAAACAAAAAAGTACACACATCGCAAGAAAAAAACAAAAACACTATGTGACAAATCACAGTAGTAGATGACACATGCATGAAACTAGTTTAATTGCTGGAGGAGACAAACAGATTATTCAAAACATCTACAATCATGTTCTATAGAGACAATTTGGTTCTCATTGCTTTTTTCCTTACTTATTCATTCAAAACTAATATGTATGCTTTTTTGTACTGATTTTTTCGGTAGAGATTCAATACATGTAAATTAAGGGCGTACTTTATGAAACATCCCATATACAAAAGAGAAACGAATTATTGACTGGTACTTAGATATTTCTGGGGGCACAGCAAAATAAAATATCCAATCCATTTTAATGAGGATTGTATAACAAATGCTGAATACAACATTAAATAGGAAGAGTTTCACATTCAAAATGAACCCTTTTGTCACAAAATACTGCCTTGAGTAAATTTTCAATAATTTGTTAACGAGATATACTGTGTCCAAATTTAAGACTCAAAAGTAATAGGACATTAATACCAAAAAGAACGAAATTACTATAACGATGCAAATATAATACAATGAAACAAAATTGAAAAAAAAAAGAGAAAAAACTATTATTTTTTTAAAATATTTGTATAGCATTTAAAATTATACAAAAAGGCATTTTAATGTATGCATTATATTACGTTAATCATAAATTTAGATAGAATTGAATTCAGTTTTCTTAAATTGAGCATAAAATGGAAATTTTTATAGGAATTTTAAGATTTAAAATTTTTTTCACTGCAGTAAAACAAAGTCTAAAACAACTTTCCTCGTTCAAGTTTAAAAGATACATTATTAATATAATGTATTTTAAATTATTTTATCTACTCTCTAACATTCACTAATAAAAAGCACACTGTAATAAAATTGATTACTGAAAAACACCAAACAGAATAATGGAAAACAAAATGGAAAGAAATAAAATATTTAATGAGAAAAACCTATAAAAAGCTTATTAAATGATAGAAATATTAGTCTTTTTTTTCCATTCAAGAATCAAAATTTCTATGAACTAATGATAACATTACCATTAAAATATCAGTGATTAACAGAAAGCATTATACAATGTTGGCTTTATCCAAATTTTTTTCAGTAATTTGGGTATTTATGATGGTGCGATTTTAATTATATAACAAATTTGCGTTTGGTAGTCAACAGTAAACACATTGCAATTTTATTAAAAAAGTATTTGTTTTACTAGATGCTGGGATTTCAAAAATAAATTCCCAAAAGTCCCGAATTTTTGATAAATAAATTAAAAGGTCCATCTCAACAAATCTGTTACAAATTAAGAGGATTTCGTGTTTCTCTAACACCATAGGGGGAAAAGTTTCTAAATAAAGCGAAAAGTTTCTAAATAAAGCGTGAAGTTCGTACACCTCTTTCCTTTTGACTTTCAATGAGTTCCTATGCATCACTGTCAAGCAGCTCACCCCCTCCCAATCACTACTACCCATTCACCCTTCAGAGGTCCCCCACTGACCCCAGACGGTTGTTTAATAGGCTTTGTATCTTTACCTTAAAATTAATAGATGAGTTGCATCATTAAAAATACTGTTGCATACGATCTTCAAAAGCGGCAATGGTTATGAATCACGGAAGCAATTTAAGAATATGTACACAGGGATTAAAGAATCAGTTATTAAGTTCATTTTAATAAGGTTTAAATATTGTACTCTTTGTGAAAAGTTTCAATTTAGCAATTTAAAATTCAATTACTAAAATAATGCACAATATTGAAGTAGGTTCAGTGGTGGATCCAGCGGGGGAGGGGGGGTCATAGGGGTCATGACCCCCTCCCCCCAAAATTGAAAAATAAAATAAAAAAAATAATTTTCTTATCAGTTTGCAAAAGAAATAAAATATTTCAAAAATTATTTAAGGGGACATAAGGGGGAATCTGAGTCTATGACCCCCCCCCCAGGAAAAATTTCTGGATCCGCCCCTGAGTAGGTTGTTTCACAGTATTGAAATAATGCACAGTTTATTAATGAAAATAAAAGTAATTCTAGTTTTGTCATTAAAAAAAAAACTCAAGTGGCAGAATACCTGGAAGAGTTTTGGCATTTGGATTGGGCATGAGACCACGGGCTCGAATCACCTCCACTTCTAGGCAGCTTTTCCTCTCGCAAATGGCCAGCTGAATCTCGCCAAGAGTGGGGGAGGCAAGAACTTGTCTCCCTACCAGCTGACCTGGGCCTAATCCTTCCACGAAACCCTCGCCCGCTTCCGGGAGAAGTCTCGATCCCCATCTACAAAGAACACAATTTTAATTTATTTTTACAAAAAATAATTAAACATAAAAAAATAAAATATCACGTTATTTTCGTTTTAAAATTACTAAAGGTAAGCAGAAACTAAACAATTTGGCCGTTCAACAATTACAAAAATTTAAATGACTTAAAAATAAAGTGTCCGCCATAAGAAATAAAAATATACAATCGACAGAGTCCTGCTACAATACTGGAAAGTTTAGGAAAAACGAGCATCAAAAAATTATAATATGAAATAAATGAAAAAACATGGAGTAATTTTTTTTCCAATTACATTGTTATATTTGAATTATGAAAGCATTCAGGTAAAATGGTTGCTTCAAAACCTTCCTTAGTAATAAAAAAAGTATCAATAAAAAAAAATTGCTCCATCATTTGTTTAAAATTACAATTTCTACATTCAAAGTCGCAAAAAAAAATTTGCTTTTTTGCCAATATTTACATTTATTTTTGAAAATACTCATTAAAATAAGATCAATTTTAACTATAAAATTTCTCGCCTTTGGCGTAATTACAAAGTAATTGATTATAAGCTATAACAAGTGACAATTATAATTTAAATTATTCGTTATAAATTTGATTTAATTATATTTGCATTTCTTTCGATTAAGCACATGAGTTATTTTTAAAAATCAAAATAAATACAATTTGGTATTCTTGAATCTCAAGAAGTTTTCTGCTTAAAAATCAAGATAGTATTTTAATGGGTACAATTAGTAACAAATATTATCAACAAGGATAAAAGCTTTTTGGATAAACCACCTTTTATCTTTACAATAATGGAAAATGAGAAGAATATGGAAGTTAACCATTATTTTAACATGAAAGCACAGTAAAGATCATTTTGCTGTTGCTTGTTTAAATATGACAATTTGTAAAATGACATTGTAAAATGGGTGGGATAGAAACTGCTAGAATATTGTAATCATAGCATTATACTTAAATGTTTTTGTTTTCAAATTTATTAATTCAATTATTATTGGTTCTTTCAAAGTTTTCTAAGAGGTCAGCAGTTTTTTTCAATAATTCTATCCAAGTGTATAAATTGAAGTGATTTTCTATGCGCAGTTTGGCTACAAGTTTTGTCTTTTATACGTCTTTGTTTGTAATTCAATGGAATCATTTTCGATTCCAGCCTTGACGTTTTTATTTTAACTCTTTTTAGACGTCTAAAGTCTGCTTAAGTTATATTAAAGAAAAATTAAGTAGAATTTTTAAGGAAAGGGTGCTGTATGATAATTATTTAAAACAATCATATTTATAAGGAAATTTTGCTAAAAATAAAACTGCCATTGAAAATGGCATTTAATTTAAAACAATTAATTTATCGATAATAGTTCATTATAATCAAACAACAATGCCTTAAATATATACTTAAAATGTTACACAAAAGAAATTATTAATATTTTTTTTTAATATAATCTCATACAATTTTTCGATAAAGTCTTAAACTATTTATCTATATTGAACTACAATAAAATGTCTTATCTAGTTTTATAAAATTAAAATAGCAATAAGGAACTGAAACAAAAAATTAAAGAAAAAAACAATTTCTTTTTACATCTAACAATTGTAAGTAGTTTAGTAAAAGGTAAGTCAAATTACTGCAAATAGTGCAATAAAAAATCTCATTGTCTTAAACCTTATATGTTCAGTGAGTAACTAAATTAATACTTATAATTAAAAAATAAGAAATTTTTTAAACTTTATAAATATCAAAAATACCAAAAGAGTGCTAGCAGGGTGCGTAGCCAAATCTTTGAATCAAAAATAAGCACTTTTTAAAAACTTTTTAAGCACTTTACAAAAATTTTCAAGCACTCAAAAAATTCATATTAATCAATGATATCATTGAAAAACAAAAAATTTTTATAAACAGTTTAGAGTTAAGAAAAAACCAAAAAGAAACGGGCGTAAATCGAAACAATCAGTACTTTCCCACATCACCGAGTGAATTCAACTTGACCCTGAACTCAGAACAAAAGTACCTTTACCCTCTAAGCCAAAACAAGTGTTAGAAGTAAAATAAAATAAACAAGAACAAAATTAAAATAAATTAAAAAGAAAAACATTTCATAAGGATCTGATATTCTCTATCCGAATTGGAGCACTCGGGTTTCGGTTTCAAGCGTGCGCGCATGCGCAAGTCACAAAGTTGGTACGACATGAAGTCCGCGTGAATTATTACGTGGCAAACTCCCCATTTTTCGTGAAATGCATGGGATCCACCAGATATCACTGAAGGGAAGGAAAAAAAAATATTCGAAAAAAAAAAGCACTTTTCCAAAACGCTAGCTGAAAAAAGCACCTTTAAAAGCTTTTAAAAACGAAATCCCCAAAAAAGCACCTTTAAGTACTTTTTACAAACGCTACGCACCCTGTGCTAGGCAATATATGGATTTATAGTGAAATATTCATATTTTTCGATCATCGAGAAAACAATTTTAAAAAAAATCTTTTCAAGATAAAACATTAACAGGATAAATACCTACTAACATTATATATCACAAAAAACAGACATACGATAAATGCCCAAAAATAACGACACATGATGAATAATAAAAAATATTCTCAGATGATAATATTGTGAATCAATGAGTAAATCTATTTCATGAAAAAGTACTAGTGATTAATAATTTTAACAGACTACAGTGTTTAACGGTTCAGGAACAAAGGTACTGAATTCTGCTCGGCACTTTTTCACTTGATGGAGTTGGCGATATATTAAGTATATTGACAGATATATCAAGACATTTATTTTAGTGCACAGATAGTATTTTTTTGAAATTTAATCAGATTTTATCATTGAATTTAATTAATAAATATTGAAAATTTATGTTTATTAAAAATCAAATCACACATTACAAGAATGGATTTTCTATATGGATAACAAAAAAGCTAATTAAATTCGATTAACAATTTTTCTGACGTTATTGTTTCAGAAATTTAAATTCATAATTAGAAAAGCCAAACACAAAAAGAAATCTCCTTCAGTATTTTAATATCTTTAGTTTATAATTATTATTTGTGACAAGAATGTTTAGTTTGTGAAAAAAAGATGAACAATTGGTTGTTTTTATAGTATTTCCTTAAATTCAAAAGTGATTTAAAAAATAAGTATAGGAAAATTTTTAGGAGAGTAACTTTAAATCAACAATACATTAATTCATCAAAATTCAATAAATTGTTCATAAACAGTCAATAAATTATTTTTTTAGACAATGTTTAAAATTTGAGAGCTAAAATTTAAGACATTTAGAAGCATTTTTACTTGAGTTGAGAAGAGCAAAACTTTTGAGACATCGTTAGAATGTTTATGTAATTTTTATAAGTTACAAATCATTTATTCNTTTAAATCAACAATACATTAATTCATCAAAATTCAATAAATTGTTCATAAACAGTCAATAAATTATTTTTTTAGACAATGTTTAAAATTTGAGAGCCAAAATTTAAGACATTTAGAAGCATTTTTTATTTTCTTAAACAGACATTTAGTAGCATTTTTACTTGAGTCGAGAAGAGCAAAACTTTTGAGACATCATTTGTTCATTATTAAAAAAAAAAAAAGAAAAAAAAAAAAAAAAAAAGAAAGAAAAATACATAATTTTAATACGTAAAATACAAAATGCGATTTAACATAATATATATCTACCTACAAATTTTTGCCACAATTATCTTAGATAAAACTGACTGACAGCTACAAACATTAAAAAAAAGGTAACTTAAGTCCATTAAGTCGAGAGGAGTCGATAGGGTATCAATAAGCTCAAAATTTAGGAGATAACTATAAAAATACTTTTTTTTAACACTTTTTTATATAACCACTTTTTTTTTAAACATCATTTCTCGAATAAGCATTTTTATAGTAGTAGTTATCACAACATTTTGACATCATTCAATCAACAACCATATTTCGTAGTTTTTTTTAAACAAAGAACAGCCATTTAAAATTTTTGTACCATCGGCAATCTTAGCATAAATCATAAATGCGTAGTTTAGTTTATATATATGTACACGTACACAAAAACATAATTTTTCAACTCTCAGTTTATAGATAAAATTTTTTATAATTAGTCTGTTATTTTTAAAATTATGATTAATAATAGTGTTTAGAGAAGAATGTGTTTTTCTACATTTGAGTAATGAAAATATAGAGCAATTTTAAAAAAAAATTGCAAATATAGAAGCTATATTGAAAATATTGCAATATATTGTGAAATATGTATATTTTTTGACAATATATCACAATATTAAAAATTCCGATATCGCCCAGAACAGGTGTACAAGAAGAGTGTAAACAATACATGACATGTGTATATGATAGTGGTAATGTGATCAACATTGCGTACTGGCCACCTTTACTTACCAGATAAGCTAGTACCCATTGATCTATAGCTGGGTGGATGGAGAGATTTCATCATTATTAAATATTTAAATTATCTAATAATTGATAAGTACTCTTTATATAAGTTACTACTTACAAGAAAAAGTTGTTACTTAGACTTCTTTACTTTAAAGANTACTTACCAGATAAGCTAGTACCCATTGATCTATAGCTGGGTGGATGGAGTGATTTCATCATTATTAAATATTTAAATTATCTAATAATTGACAAGCTATACTCTTTATATAAGTTACTACTTACAAGAAAAAGTTGTTACTTAGACTTCTTTACTTTAAAGAAACTTAGTATCAGTAAAATCTTGATTTTTACAGGGTGTGTATATCAATATATATATATTTATATCAATGTTATCACATTGTTTGCTTATGCATTTTTATTGTTAAATGATTTTGCAGAACTCAAGAAGATTCTAAAAAGATGAAATGTCAATTTAAGGATAATATAATACAAATTTACTGTTGAACAAAATTGTAAAAAACAAATAAATAAATAAAATTTCTGGCTATTGTTTCTAGCTAACCCATTCTACAATACATTTCACTGAGTAAGAAATGTTAGTCACACAAACAGCACTCACTATAAATTAATATGAAGAAAGGTAAAGAGGAAAGCAACAACACAGAGAAGTGATTCGGGGCATTCGGAGCGAGGGGGGAGACATGCTTTTTAAAAGGAGTAGAAGGCAAAAGAGAGCACACCCAAGGCACGTGCAAATTAGGAGAAGGAATACAAGAAAGAAAAAAAAGTACTGACAGTCGAATTGAGTCGAACAAGCGCCACCACAAAAGACAAAGCGGGACCATGAACAAAGCGAGATGGACTTCTTCTTAATACCTACTTGATTCACTCTGCACACTAGTCGTGAGTCAAGTAGAATTGCAAAAGAAATCCACCTCGAGCGGATGTGCAAATGTGTATGTGTGCGGTGGCCACAAGTACTTACAGTCGCCCATTGATCTTGACCGTGCCAGTCGGTGAGGGTGTCATTCCAGAAAGTCGGTCTCCGCCTGCAAGAAGACAATATTATTTAAGCTAATCGCCCCCTTCGATCCGATCAGCCCCGACTCGCCTCTTTTTCACACGTAATTGTTAATATTAAATCAATTTCACCTCCTCAGAAAGACAGTGACACCATAAAGAAACAGATAAGACAAAACTCTGAGTAAATGAATCACTGAAAAAAGGAAGCATGGAGTAGTTTTGAAATTGACTACTACATTCATAGGAAGACTCTTCCTTATTCACAAAGAAGACATTGAGGAGAAAGTGGGCCACTGTTTTTGTACATGAGAAGGTGAAAAGAGGACTTACGTCGTGCTGTCCCCGCTAATGCTGCCATCGGAGGAGACACTACTGCTGCCGGCCCTGAAATCCGGCAAGACTTCTTCGCTCCGACGCACCACAAAGGAAGACGAGGAATCATTACGAAGTCTGAAGAAAATCCTCTTCTTGTTCCCTTTTTACAGAACACACACACATCACATTTTATGATAAGAAAGGGTATATTTCAATTCCAATTCATTTAGAAAATTTTTTTCACCAAATAGATCAAATTTATTTCATACCTTTTTTAAAAACTTAAGTTATATTCCCCCAAACAATATTATAATGAAATTAAATAAAATTCACAACAAACATTTTAAACTAATTCAAATTTTATCATTTACTTAAAATATCTAACTATCTTATACCTTTATCATAATTTACATACTTAAGAATTTCATGAAAACCTAAGGATAATTTTTTAAAGAATACTTTTAAAAATTCCCATTTGAATTGCATGTAATATTAGAGATGACACTGCTAATTTGTTTCTTCAAGTTATTATCAAGTTCAAGTTTTTGATTTTTTTTAAAAAAAAGTTGCTAAATTTAAGCATTTTTTATTTTAAATATCTGCCTAGAAACCATGTCCATACTTAAGATTTAAAAAAAATTGAAAGAAGTTTGTCGTCTACGAGTCATTGCCAAATGATTTTTTTTTTAAGTAAATAAAATGTCCTTGAAATTATATCTTAGGTGCCAAACCTCTGCTCAGTGCTCATCATAATTTTTCATTCATATTTTATGTGACATAATCATCAGAAAAGATATCGGAAAGGCTGCAATTAACATTAAAAAAAGGCTCTTTCAGGGCTAAGAAAAATAAATTGCTTAAATGGAAACATATTAATTAAACAGACTCAATAGGAAAGAATCAGGCTTGTTAAAATACATCCAAAAAAATTTTTCTTTATATATATAAAAATATGGAATCCGCTCAATTTAAATAATTCGTTATATAAATCAAAAATTTTTTATTTTTTTATTTTATTAAAAATTATGTTTAGTTAAAATCAATTTATTACTAATAAATTATTAACATTTAATTTTCAACCCATTTCACTTTCTGAAAAGCTACTATTATTGATTTATTTTCACTGTTTAGAGAAAAAAATACTCCATTTATATAGTTTTTAATGAAGGAAAATTACTCATAAATGCAGAAAAAAAAAATGCTCTTTAAAGAAAAAATTGAGCACTTGGCATAACCTATTTCTAATATTTCAGTTTTGCACAGTAAAAATATTTTACCCACAAACCTTTAAACTTTAAATTGAAAAAGTAGTACTCTGTTTTAGAAAATCATAGAAAAGTCGTCAAATATTGCTGACACCAATGATGTTTAACTATTTGCGATAATATGTGCTACAAATATTACGGTGCTTAATATACAAAAATAAACACTGCTGTGAATAAATTTTCACAAACCCTCGATACATAACAGTACCAAAGAAAATTTACTTTCTAAAAATTTGTTTCTTCTTCATTAATTTGACAAAATAGGTTTAAATTTTTCTTTCTTCCATTCTTTCCTTTTTAAATTTTTTTTTATAGCTAGAATTAAATATAAAATTAGCGTATTAATAATTTCTAAGATTCGATAACATAAATATCATATTGTGACTGAATTCTGAATTTTTTTATATTCAGATATAGATATTTAAAGCGATATAGCTATAGATATTGTTATTCAGCTCTATATTTTAATTGGTTAAAGTTCTTTAAAATACAATTTTTATTATGATACGAATGGCTGCAAATGACTAAATGATAGATATTTAAATTATATATATATATATTTTTAATGCGCAACTTTCAAAGGGGAAACATTGCAATTTTTATTTTCATTAGATAAATTTAATAACAAATTTACGTGGCCACTAAGTAGTATTGCAATTTCTAAGTATGTTTTGAGACTTCATCCTATCGTCTGCAAATGCCCTGGTCCTATAGAGATTGCCCAGTTGTGCACATGCCAAAAGACGGTACTAAATCTAGCCTTCTAAGATGTTTAATAATTGGAAAAAAATATTAGTTTTTGAAAAGAAAATGTGTATTATTTGGTGGCCATAAGAAATATTGAATATTTACTAGTGTAAGAGCTTAAATGGGTGCAGCATCAAAGTTCTTATGGAAAGAAGATTCTGAGCAATTTTTTAGTACAGTAATTTCCAGAAGATAGACCATGGCCTAAACAAAGAAATCATTCCCCCCAAGCTAAGAGTGATGATTTTATAATCACAGCGGATTTATTCAAAAACAGATTTTTACAATATTTGTTTCCGAAATTATGAATATTCACTCTGAAAGCTTTTTTTATGTATAGGGTGATAAAAGAAGTTTTCGATTAAGGAAGAACCATCTTTAATCTGACATCTACAAATCGGTTACAAATTCCGATTTGAAACTTAAGAATAAACCAGTACATATATTTTTTACTCGCTCCTCCTCACCTACATTTTCTTTTTAAATATTTTATTTTCCAATTGTCACAAAACTAGAATATAAAATATTTTTATTCTATTCATCGATCCAATTACTGCAGATGAAATTTAGAATTAGTTGAAATTTTTTACATATTTATTTTTCAACACTGATTAAAAATTTCTACTCCTTTTCCTAACTAATGTATACAACATAGAAGGAATAATAAAAAAAAAACAGCACTTCAGCATTAAAACGTGCCTCTGAAAAAGAAATTGGGAGAGTACGTAAATTGACACCAATCTGTCGATTAACTGATGTATGAAAGAAGAAAAAAATTTAAAATAGAAAAAAAAATGAGGTTCTGCACTGATGAGATGAAAAATGAACTCGATGATGAACTACAACAATTATTTTTTCGCCAAAGTGAAGAATCTGATTTTGATGGATTTGATTAAATATAAGATTGGAAACATCTGAAAAATAAATAAAAAGTTGGTGATTTATTCTTATTTTGTGATTAGGTTATTTTTCATCATGTACACATCATCAAATTATGATTCTGATTGGCTGTATAAGTTTCTTCTATAAATAAGTATCGTTCTCAATTCTTTCGTTTTATAATAAAGTGCATTCATATATAAAAAAAGATTTATAACTAATAACTGTTTTCTAAGTATAGATTTTATGTTTTAAAGATTATTATTTTTCAAGTCTTGCTAAGAATCGATGTGGTACCCACTATTCCGCATTTTAAAGATGTAACCTTTTTTCTTTTAACTGAGAATAACTTTCATTTCATTTCAAATTTTAATTATATATTTGGAAAGCGAATCGTAGCCAGATATATAGTACTTCTTATCAATTTAATTAACATTATAGTGACAATTAATATAGTGTATCTTATAGTATATCTAATCAATATGGTGACATTTTATGTTTAATTATTTCTTTTGGAATGCATTGTTTTAACCCTTATCTCTTTTAACAAGGAAGAATTTTGCATAGAATTTTGAGGGAAACATTTTTCAGTATGAATGGTGTCAAGTGCTATCTTCTCTAGGTAAAGTCTTTATTTTTTGGAAGGGATAAAAACTTTTTTGAGCCTTTCTAGATCTAAAATAACAGGTTTAAAGATCTTAATGAAAGGATTTGAGTAAATATATTCTTTTCAGAAAATGTCTAAAACTGCCACTTAGCACCCTTCATCCATTAAGACTAACAAACTTAACAAAGACTAACAAACTAAGACTAAGACTTAACAAACTACACCATTGTTGTATAAAACTAAAATAGGATCCAACCATTGAAAAAATATAATTTCTTTGACTAAGCTACTCAAATATTACACAAGTACTTTTATAAACTCATTCCTGACAATTTTCACACATAAATCGAATATCTCACATAAAAAATTAATTGTCTTTAAAAATCAATTTATTTATAATTATAATTGATTTTAATTGCTTAACAAAATATTTTTTTTTAACATTTGTCTGTACATTTTTTTTCAAGTACTAAAATTTTTTTTCCAGGGTTCCCACTCCTTTAAAAAAGCAAAAATTAAGCACTTTTAAGCACCTTTTCTTGAAAAAATTAAGGACTTTAAAAATAGAATGATTGTTAATGATCGAATATATACATATATAGTACAAATGACAGTGCCAATTACTTACATTTCATAAAAAAATAATAAACAATTTTATTATAACGTAAGCACTGGTATAATTACATTCATTAACAGGGCTTGCCAAAGAAGTACCAGGCAATATTTGCAAACCCGGGTTGGTTTTTTTTAAAAAAACATTTTCAGATTGTTAAAGGTTAACGTCATCTATGAAACTAATACATATTCAATTTTTAATGATTTCATTGAAATTGAATGGTAAAATTAAGTCCAGAAATTAGGATTTGAAATTTTTTTCCTGTATATATATATAAAAAAGAGTAAATAAAGAAATTTGGCAAAAACATTGAAAAATTTATTACAACAAGTTTTTATATTTCACTACTAGACCTGCATCACATATTTATTTGTGGGCCAATCTTGCTAAATGTTCAGTTAGGCCAAAAAAATTCTTTCTTTCCTTTTAATAAAATGTTTCATTTATAAGGGTATATATTAAGATAATTAATACTAAAAAGTTGAATTAGAGTTATGATTGAGAATAGTTTTCTTAACTGTGCCATGTAAAATATCTAAGCACCTTAAATCATTCCACATTTTTTTCAAAAGGCATAATTCAATATATTTTTTAAATTCATTGTGATAAATATTTTTATGAAAATTTTTATAGAATAAATATACAATTACATTTGAGAAGATTCATAATTTTCCTACCAATTTGTTTTTATTAGTTCTTATCATTAGTTTTTTATCAGTTAGTAAACATGTAAACAAAAGGGTCTAAAACGATTTTTAAAGGCATCAACATATTCCTATGGCCAGAAAATTAATAACATTCCTTAATTAACAAATACTAATAAATTATTTTTATTTTAATCACTTATAGATTTTTACTAGTAATATTTCTTTATCATCCTCTATCATTCATAATATACTCTAACTATTATTATGATTCGATATTTTATTTTTATTACAAATTAACAGTTGAAAACTGAAAGTGGTATTCTTTTATTATAAAATAATCCTGTAATATCACCTTATCAGGTAACGTTTTGTAAAAAAATATTGAAATTTTTTATGAAAAACATATTGAAAACGGTATATAACTTAACAATTTTGAAATTATAACTAAACAACAAATGTGCTATACTTACTTTTATGATGAGCTTTACACAAAATTATTTTTAACCAACCAAAAATTTAATAAAAAAAAAAAAAACAAAACAAAAAAAACAGTATATTAAGCTGCAATGTTAACTGAATAAAGATTTTATTAAAATCTAAGGATCTTTTAATTGAGTAGATTTAAATATTATATAACAATCTGCTTATCCTTAAGAAACAAAAATAATAGCATAACAGTCTAAAACTTAAAATTTTTTTTACATTGCAACTAAACAAATTACAAATAATTAACAAATATTTAACTTTCTTGTTAGAAGCAAACCATGCATTCTTATTTAGTACGCAGGAAAAAAAATTGAAGTATTTTGGAAAAAACTTGAGGTTTTCATCAAAAACCCAATAAAATCCAGGTTTTTGATGAAAAACATAGGTGGGCTGGGATTTTTCCAACCCTATTTATTACAGATCTATTTAATTTTTAGTACAATCATGAATTTCACAAAAATGTCACTGCCTTCAATAAATTTAGTTACTTATTACACATTGAAATATTATACAAATTAATTTAATTCTTCAAGATTTTAGGAAATAGTTTTCTTTATGGATTCTAGTTCAAAAATTATTTCTGATACTTCTTTTCTTAGGGTTTTACTTAATTCCTATAACCAGATTACCAGTAGAACTTAATTTTTTGAATTTTGTTAATTTTGAAGGTTAATGTGGGTCTTTTACTTAAAAAAGCAGTATGCAAGAACCAATATATTAATAAAAGGACATGCTTTCTTCCCCCTGCCTGAAGCCCCCTCTAACACATTCATTTTTGTCTTTCTAAAATGATGCACATCCTCTATGCGTGGTCTAATTCTAGGTGATAAAAGAACGGTATTTTGTTTTAAAAAATTGAACTGAAAAATTGTTCCGATCAACTCTAGTGATGCTGAAAAATTAAGGACTTTAAAAACCTTGTACCAAAATTAAGTACTTTTAAGCGCCCTTATATTCCAAAAAAAAATTAAGCAGTTTTTAAGGACCATGGGAATCTTGTTAATTTTATTACCCCATCAATTTCTTTATCACAGACTAAATTAATTGAGGTGAGCATATCAGCTAAAGACTACTCTAATAAAGGATGCTAAATCTATAAAGAAGCCACATTTCTCTTCTAAAGGATATTTTTGGTATCAATTGAAAAATGGATTTAAATACATATCTGTGGATTCGTACCATCAATGAATTACATACCTGTGACACTCAGTTGTGAAGTGCTGTTGCTCTTTTTGGAAAGGTAGGGGGTGGCAGAGTAGGTGGAGGGTCGTCGAATCATGGTCTTATTATCTGTGGCCAGTCCAACAGCTGTGTCGGACAAGCTGCCATCCATTTCTGCATCTCGGGATGATGGATGGACCGGTCCCCCATATGCTGAAGAACGACCCGTGAATTCCCTACAAATAAATCAACTTTATTAATACTTTCTGTTAAATAAATGATTGCAATTAAAGTTATATCCTTAAAAGGTTATGAAAAAGAACTATTGGTCAGAACACTCTGATATTTCAGTGGAGTACACAGGAAGTGAGGTGAATTTGATTATTTGATTGGCAAAAGAAAAAAAAATCATCAAATATTGACCAATATATGTAGCTGTACTTGCTAAAGGATTCTACTTAAAAGACATAGGATATTGTTTAGACGTTATGTTCAAAGTCCAACTACTAGAACAAAACAGTTACTGGAAAATGTAGAGTATTTTTTGATAGAACTAACTCACATTTGAGTTACATGGAAAGGAAAACCACGAAAATCTATAACGGTTAGCCTGACAGCAAGGGGACTCTAACCCTTGATCCGTTTACCACTGAAAATATTTTACATCAGCATTGTGGTTGGTGCGAGTCAGGTGCAAAATTTGAATCAACCAGCCATTGCCGGGATTTGAACCCGATGGAAAAAAAATGGCATAGGTGCATCAATGTTATTAAGAAAAAGGACAGGGAGCATTAGGATTAAAAATAAAAAGGCATGGTCCAGCCCTCCTCAAAAAATCAGAAAACATGAACACTGAGAACTAAACTCCATAAAAATATTTTAACGGTTTTAATTACTTTTTTGAAGAAAATTAAAAAGCCTTATACGTCTATAAAAAAGGTCAATTTTAAATAAAGACATTCTAAATTTGAAAATCAGATTATGAACTTGCGATTGGAAGTTATTAAAGCGCATGCATAAAGGCAGGCTTTCAATAACATATAGAGATAAAGCCTTCAAAATTAAACATTGTTAGTAAAGTGCGTGAATAAATACTTTACCCGAGAGTGCGACTGTTTCTGTGAAAGGCACTGCTGAGGCTAAACTTGGAACTTGACTCTGAGTCGTCGGGACTAACTAAAGAGCTGCTCACCCCCAATGCTGCTGCCATTCGTGATCCACCCCCACGGCGCTGTGGGAACTCAGCACCTGTTGATATGAAAAGTATTAAATGATTGGAATTGAATGATTAATTCAACAATGACCCACTTGTTGAACTACTAATTGGGTACTATAATGAGTAATTCAACAATGTCACATTTGTTGAACTACTCATTTGGTAGCATGTAACAGGCTTTTTTCTTCATGCATCCAGCTGGTCTGAAGGCTTACACAAATATTGTAACATACTTAGAGTAATTTCAAACATATCTTCAAAATGAGCATTGTATGTGTTATTGGCAAAGTTTGAAATCCAGCATTGTATATAATGCCTAAAACTAGCCGGCAATGTATGAAACGATTTATATTTCACACATTTCCTAGGTGTTCTATAAAATGTCAAATGAGAAACCAGCAAATTATAAAATACATCTCAGATTCGCCAAAATGTCATTCAAGCCTGTCATGTTGCAACAAGTAGGTTAATTTCTTATTTTTTATACGAAAATCTTGTTTCCTTTAATAAGAAAAGCATAAATTATGTTTTGTACAGCTTTCATTTTTCTTTACGCATTTCAAAAAAATTTTTTAATGGCACTCTCATTATTTTTTCAGAATAACATTTTTATTTTTGAGATATGCACATCATTTAAATAATAACCTCATCAGGATGTTTTTTTTTATTTTTTTATACTTGGCCTAAATGGTATTTGTCACTCTATAGGACACCTAGGTACTATATATACAATGGCAAGGGAAAGTATGCAATACTCCTCATATTTCATACCTTGCCTAAAAACATGTGGCATTACATACAATGCCTAGGCATTCCATAGAATACCGGCGTTTCATACTTTGCCGGTAATATATACATTTCAACTATGCCAACAACTGGCATAAAATATTGAGTGGTAAAACTTTAATTGATCTAAGACAGGGATGACAGAACAATGAAACAACTTATAATTTAATAGAAAATAGATAAAGATGCTTTGCAATTATACAAAGATACCGATGATAATGGCGTTAATAATGAGAATGATGGTAATATAAATTATAAAATTTAATTATTTGTTATCTGGACTAATAAATTCTTCTAAGGGACCTTGTGAAAAGAATAATTCAGCAATTAGAATGAGAGGTAACAGCAACTCACCAGAAGGAGGGGTAACGGCAACTGCTGGGTTCTTTCCTTTCTTCATGTATCGCTCTTCTATATCAATCCTGGAGAAAGGTACTTGTGGTAATTGGCGTTTCCTATACTGGTTATTAGAAGAGGATGCTGCTGGCAGTAGGCGTCGAGAATGATGGAACGGAGCTGCCCTGAAAAGAAGAACATTATTTCAAGCACTGACTGCTACGCACGTAAACCTTTTACTTTAACAGGGTTCCCACTCAATTTTTTAAAAATAAATTCAAGGACTTTTCAATGACTTTCAAGGATCAAAAATCAAATTTTTCGAGGACCTATTCCATATAACAGTTATATGCTAAAGTACATATCAACGATTTTACAATATATGTATATATATATATATATGTAACATGCGAGACTACAGCCTCTCTTATAGTACGCCAGATGTCGCTCGCCTTAACGAAATGCAACGAACTTTTTCGATGTAAAGGAAGAGTTAGTCAGTTGGAATTGTCTGTTGATGTTGTTTCTAGAGGAAACTGGTAACCTTAGTGGTTAAGATTCTAAGTGAATATGTTATTTGTTAATTGTAGTATGTTTCTGTGTGAAACTGAGAACCTGTGTGGTTCGAACTTAATTGGTTAAGAGTCTGTGTGACTCATTTTATTATTAAAGAATAAGCATAATCATTAATTGTGTTGATTGACTTTATTAATGGTAACCAAGGCATTTATATTTGGTGTCAGAAGAATTCTAATTGAGAAAAAAAAACTCTAATTAACATAGGATACTAGCCAACATTTAAAAACTAGCATCAGTGAAAAATTTAATGAAGTGAATTAGATGAAGTGAATTAATGAAGCTGAAGGAATTATGCATATTACATTAAACAAGCATAGTAAATAATTAATAAAGTTTGTGTAATTGCACGGTTATTAAAATATAAATACTTTTTTTTATTATGTCAGATCAAATTCTAGGTTAAAGAAAATGTATATAATTAGATAAGATATCAAAATATATCCATTTAACATATCTATTTCAATTTTAATAAATTATCTATTTTGTTACTTCAGAATATCAGTAATGTAGTTTGAACATAAAAAAATCTATTGTAGAACAATATTTTACAGATAAATAAAACTTACCAAGCTTTATTTTCTTTAAAATATATTCATAACACGCGACGCGCGATTTTTAAAATTTTGTGAACATGCGTAGTTTTAAAAAAGCGTAATTTTTAAATCGTATTTATACGAATCTAGATATACTATATGTAAATCAAAATTAAAAGAAAGGTGAAGTAAGTCTCGAAGATTGCGTAAATCACGTATCACNTGATAAATTGATTCTGATTTTCGAATTCTGTTTTCCTTCTTAAGTAATCAGTTTTGCATTTTCTAATTTTAAACGTTTTAAAGTATTGTATTTTCTGCAAAGAGATTACAAGGTTAACCGACAAAAAGAATTTAGTGTTATATAAACAATGATGTTTATATAACAATCACCACCAACAATTGCTTTCAATATGTCGGTCTAAACACTTTGGCATGCGGCCCTTCATTGGTCAATCTGCTGTGCATGTGGCCCTTCACTGAAAAAGGTTGTGCACCCCTATACTAGAATGAGAATTGCGAGGCATGATCCTTAAATTACTTAAAAACGTATCACGTTATATGATTCAGAAATAACTTTAATTGAAATCATGGTGTGTGATTGATAAATCACCTCAACGTGAATCATGATGAGTGATGTAGAAAATACCTTAATACGAATCTTGATGAGTAATTTGCAAATCACTTTAAAGTAATATTCAAGATGTGATTCAATAATCACTTTAATTTAAATTGCAATTCATAGAACATTTTATAAGATTTCAGATCCGCAAATCAAGAATCAGTTTAATGTGAATCAGGATGTTTATTCATAATCAAAGAAACCTGTGGAACTAAATTTTATTTATTAGCAGTAAAAACTAAATGTAAAAATTTGATTATAAATGATAAAAAATTAATTATCCTTGGCACATAAATTAAAAGAAGGATAACAATATTAATCTGTCGTAATAATGAAGTTAACACATTGAACATATGTCTAAATCGATTAAACACTAGATATCACATTCAAAAACTATGACTACAAAATGTAAAATTTGAGAGAAATTTCAGCTTTCAAAACATCAGAGAGATGAACAATAATCTGGTGAGAAAAATCTAAGAGAGAGAAGTTTTGCATCTTCTTCAACCCTTTTTCACTTCAAGCATTAAAAATTGCATCTATCAGAATTTCTATAATTTTCCTTTGAACTTATTTATTATTTTTTTAATGCTTTTTTGAAAGAAAGATTAGTATTATTTAAATTCCTAAAAAATCAAGTACTCTTCAAGTACCCTATGGCAAAATTCAAGGACTTTTCAGGGCCCTGAATTTTTTCAACAAAATTCAAGGACTTTCAAGGTTTTTCAAGTACCCTGTTTAAAGTAGATTTTTTTGTTGTTGCAGGACCTCTAAATCACTTAACCCCAGTTAAGACTTTTACCATAATATGGAGAGAAGTTTGCATACTTTTTTTTCTTTCAAATTTCATTCATAAGAAAGAACAAATTAACAGTGTTCTTCCATTTTTATTAATTTCATTTTCAAACTTTATGCTATAATATTATACTAAGATATACTATCAATGATGTATCATGCATGAGTCCATCAGAACTTTGAAATTTTATGTTTATGAGAAATTTAAAAAAGTCCTATTTTCTAATGCTGAGATTTCTATGAACAGTTCTTTTGTGGCCACATTTCTTAAGACCCCAAGAAATGTTGAATAACTCATAAAAATTTCGTGGATGCCTTTATTTGATTCTAAGCCTTTAATAAAGGAGAATTTTAATGAATTTTTTGTGTGCATTGCATCTGCTTGTTTTCATGGAGGATTTTTCATGTTTTTCAAAAACCATAATTTTGTTTGAGAAGTTGAAATAAATACACATATATTTTGGCTTACATTCACAAAAGAAAATTCTAGTAATCTGAATATGGAACAAACTGGCATCAAGTTTTATCTAGCCTTATTAGCCCAAAACATGATTCAGAGGTAGGGTGAGCTAATCATTTGCAGAGTAGATGTTTTACCAATATTTTTTGCTATCATTGGCAATAATTCAGTTATTATTGATTTTAAAAAAGAATTCATTTAAAGAGCATTGATTGTAGCAAAAATATAATGCCATTTTGTTACACCTAAAGGTATGACTAAGATTTAACCCTAAGTAGTTTTATTATTTTTAATACAAAAATATCTACAGCTATTGAAACACCTAAATTATATTAAATTTTTCCATTGAAAATTAACAATTTCATGCAAAAAATAACACATTTTAGTTTATGAAAATGCTTATAAAACTGTTTTGGGCATTTGTTTTATCACGGCAAACTACGTGATTATGATTAGTTTCGAGACTCTCATTTTTCTTCATAATTTAGGTAAACACTTTGGGAATTTCTGGCACTGAACACTCAACTCAGTGGGTAAGCAGCTTTTTTTAACTTTTTAGCCTTGAATCTAGAGGACAAGAGAAGACCTGTTTAAAGAACAAGGTCACATTCACCTTTGAGAAGAATTCTTTAAAGCAAAACTAATCAACATTTGCACCAAATGGAGCTGAAAATCACGAAAACCTCTAATGCCTAGCCAGATACCAATGGAGTTCTGATCTGTCTCTACCAAAGTATAATTGGCCTTGGCACTGCCACCTTTGCTGGCAGGGGGCAAAAATAAAATTTAGCCATCTAGATCTGAGATTCATTCATATGTAGACTTAATCTTTTTCTGCTGAATCATGCCGACTTTTATGAAAAAGTTGCCATTAATTTTTCAAATATATAAGTATGCTTATCATTTTGATATACAATTAGCAGTTAGTGAGCACAATTAACAGTGTATACCTGTATTGTGGCGGTGAGACAGACCTAGATCCGTGAACCGGCGTTCTCCTCTCTGATGAATCCGCCATGGATCTGGATCGCCTTCTATCTTCAAATCCGGTCTCTCTGATCCTTCCACGTGGGTAATCGGAGGAGGAGATAGGAGGAGAGTTTAAAGATCTTGATCGTCCACCCATTTCATAGGGTTGCCGATCAATCCCTTCATAGAAGGGAGAACAACTGTCAATGGCCATCATACGACGCTCTGCAAAACAACGTTATTAATGAATGTTGAAACAGGATGCATAGCCAAATCTTTCAACAAAAAATAAGCACCTTTTAAGTATTTTATAAGCCCTAAAAGAATAATTTTAAGCACTATATACATTAAAAAATGCAAAATAGTTTCCAAAGACTTAACATAATCGTGATAAAATAACTAGTTTCTGATATAGAAGTTTTTCTTGATTATATTAGCCGCCATAAAAAGATCAATAGATTTTTCGGTTTGATTTCAGAAGGTGGAAAATGAAGCCAGAAATTGAGAATATCTTGCAAAATGCAGCAGAGTTGCACATGAGTGTGCAAGAATCTCACCAACCCAGCTCAGTATATGCACAAGAAGATCTGCAAGTATTTCAGCAAGCATGTAAAATGATAGGCACTTGCATATGCTACGGACTGACGGTATGCCGAAATGCATTGTGTTTGAATGAATTGTGAAAACATTGAATAGTACAATATGAAAACCACGCTTTTATATAATCCATGGTGAAAATCAACATGATAAAGAAAAAAATCTCCCATTCGAAAAGGGAAAATTAAGCACTTTTTAAAAACACCCAATAAGAAAAAGCACCATTAAGGGCTTTTAAAACATGAAATTCAAAAATAAGCACCCTTAAGCACTTTTAAAAACGCTACGCACCATGTAAAATAACCCCACACTCAACAAATTTTGTTTGATGATTTTAATCATTGAAAATAAATTGCAAATTGCATGATCTTAATAAAGTCCAAGTTGAGAAATGACATATGAGAGGACCTAACACATATAGTTCAATGCATAATAAAGTAAAATGATTCAGAAAATATCATCAGAACTAGTTTTACTAAGCAATGGAGAAAAAAATATTTATTTCTATTAAAAATACATTATCTAACTTTTAAAACAGAAAAATACAATTTTTTATTTATTGATCTAACAATTTTAATGCAGTAAGATAGTGAGAAAATTCACCAAGTATGGTCCCCAGGTTACAATACTTTCTCTTTCAGACAGCTTTTCAGTCACTTGTTACTATGTTAGATATGTTAAAAATGGAAACAGTAAAAAAAGCTATGTAAAAATGCTTTTCAAAGTTTCTCTGGTTGAATTATGATTTTGTAATTAAGAATAACTATTACAAATATGCCTCTCAGCTACTATCAACATCATTCACTATCCTTGTTTTCCAATTAATAAATCAAACCTAGAATTCATATTCGAAAGAAAAAAAATTTTGAATTAAAGGTAAAAGTATGTTTTCCAAAGACAAAAGATATTTTCGAATAATTATATTTTAAATAAGCAACAAGGATTTTTAAAAGACACACCTTTTTTATAAGATAAAATTTATACATAAAATTACATGAACAGGTGTCAATTTTTGCTTTTTCCCTCCTTATGATGTTTGGTCTTCTGATTCTGATGAGTTTTTGATTTTTTACCCGTTTGAAGAGTTAAACTCAAGAACCAACAAGAATGAGTAATAATTTTACTTCTCCATTTCTTATATTTATGTTAAAGATCGCGTAACTTTTTTATTTTAAGAGCTAGATTTAAGAAACAAGTTACTGATGAATAAGCCAATATTGAAAATTTTGTAACAATTTAAGTGCTTGAAAGTCAAGTTATAGAATGGAAGATATAGTATTTCTTAATGTGGTGGCATTTCTAAAAATGAATATGAGCATTTTTTTTCAAAGGCATTAGTAGAACTTGTAATTTTTAAAGTTAGGAAAAAAAACACAGATATAAGGTATTTATTATATGTGGATATAAAGTATTTATTATAAAAAAATTTAATAATTAAAGTTACACAGTTTAATATTAAAAATTATGAGTCTCAGGCAGTAAACATATTTGATGGTAGTTGCTGCTAAAATATAATATTCTACTTTGTTATAGGTGTTTGTGCAAAAAGGCAGGTGTCTATCCATTCAGTATTGTAACAAAACTGTTTAGAGAATACCATGGCAACAACTCCCAACAAAATCTAGCATGCCATCTCCAATTATTGAACTGAAAGATTGAATCGGTCCTTTATAATGTTCGATGTTCTATTTCATTTCCAAGTGGTATGTTCTGCACTTAGTTAATGTTATATGTGCTTTATAATTTTTTATATGATTAATAAATTTATAAAGAGTTAGTCAGAATTTTAATTTTAACAAGAATAGTTACACTATTCTGTTTTTCGAGAGTAAGAGCTGACTAACATTTTCTGGAAAGAGTGCTCAGATCTGAACAAAGGGTATGGGTGCAGATAAGAGTGTATTTCACATCTTACAATAATTTATTATTCAATACACTAAATTCAATACACTTAGTTCTGAATTATTAGACTATCAGTACTTAATTATTGTGGCTTGCTTTAGAATCTGTAGTTGTTTTATAAAAACATCTATATTAGGATAAATTCTTGATGATAGAAACAAAATTAGTTATTTTAGGTACCCATCAGCATTGAACAATATTATTATTTAGTCATAGCAGAAAAACATTAGTTCACAATTATATGCAGATCCAAATATGCAACAATATATATACTCAAATTGTGTAGGTTAGAAGAGTTAGTTTTTGATACTAATTTCTAAGGTTCTGAGGACTTTTTTTTAAAAAATTTAGTGTCAAAATTAGTTTTAGTATGTGCCAATGATCAATATTCTGCTATACTGAGGCATACAGTCTGTGAGTTGGCTATCCATACTTTAAATGAAAAAACAATAGCTTCAAACTGCATCTTGAACACACATCAACGCAAAACAATATGTCTTGAGTTTTTGCATGATGGATTGAATAGAAAGTGGAACAATGAAATGGAATCTGAACAAAAGAATACCGGTTCTTTCGCTGAACTTTTCATCGAAGTCCGACAAGTCGTCGTCGGAAAGTCTTCTATCAGGGGATTCTGGAGGAGATGGGTTAATCACGTTGTCCCTGTGCATTGACAAGAGGTACCACTGCGGCTCATTATTCATACTCGAACGCAAAGGAATCACCACCTGCAACAAAAAAACACACTCAATAAAAAAAGGTAGCATTAATATTGTTTATATTTTCTGCACATTTGCAGGCAAAATTATTGCTTTTGTTCTGATCAGATTGCAATGCACAATTTAACCTTCATACAGCCAAACGGAGGACATCACGAACACCACTTCAATTTTCTAATCTTACTTCCTTAAATTTCTTTTTATACAGTAGATATCTTAATAACACAGACATGAAACATTTGTCATTAGTTTTTCTTTGTCATCTTGTCTTTAATTTCATTAGTTATAGATCAATTAGCTTACCTATTAAACAATGCAATATACATATGGAACAGAGCAATATTTCATTGCTTTAAAACAATATTTCGATGCAAACTTCCTTAAAACACAAAAATATGCACTTAAGTATTCATTCATATGGAAAAAAATTGAAATTATCAAGAACATTAGACATTATTATAGCTGCAAACATGAATAGGAAAAAATCCAGTAGATTTTATAAAATATAAATGTCATGATAACTGTTGTATAATATACTAAATATTTTTAGGGATTTTTATTGTCCTCAGAATACAAAAACTTTATCACACTAATAACTATATATAGTTTGTCTAAGCTAAGAACTCCTCCCACCACAAAGTCTGAGGCTATCTGGTGCTACGGAAACAAGAATGGTGAATTTTTGGGAGCATAGCTTCACTTTAGGACTAACACAATAGACCAAAGAAAGATAATACTTTTTTCTTGCCGACTAGAGCCAAAACCACTCCAAAACAGTGACTCTGCACCCCTTCTTGAAGTAGTCATACCTCATTATCATAGTCACAGTCACAGGTCCAGGCGAATGTCTGGGGGAGTTCTTATTTTAGACAAACTATAAATGGTCTGCAATATTTTTCGTCCATTAATCATTAAATGAGTAATAGCTTTCAATGCTTTTTTTAAATTTTGAGAATTTCTGAATCGTTTTGGGATTTGTTTTATGGGAAAATGTTTTTGAAAAGGTTAATCATATTTTATGTAATAACTACTATATGCATAAACAGTATAAGAGCTTTCCCTGTACCATCAAATAATAAATTACCTATATAAATAGTCTCAAGAAACTAAAGTGTAAATAAAAAGTGGTTGTTTGAAAACTTAATTTGCTTAAAAAAATACAAATATGAAATATCAGATAGTATGTTTTAAGCACGACAAAAATAGATGCCTATTTTCAAAACATGCCAGACGTAAATGAAGAAACAAAAATGATTTATAATAAAAAACCTAAAGTTGCCAACAAAAGTGGAAAAATTAAAAAATGGAAACTTATTTCTATTATAAGAAAAAGGGAAATTTATTTTTCCATTTTCTGTTGGCAATTTTATATTTTTTCTTTATATTCACATTTGGCAAGTCTTGAAAATGGGTGCCTACTTTTGAAGTGCTTGAAACATGTCGAGTGTTATTTTATAACTGTATTTCTTTGAAGTGAATAAAATTTTTAAGCAGGTAATAACTTACTTACTTAGCATGGCACTTTCAATATTAATACTCTAAATAGTTTTTAAACACACATGCTTAAGAAACACAAAAATATGTACAAGAGTAATTATTATTTTAAAAAAAATTGAAATTATTAAGAGTATTAGAAATGAAATTCCGTCAAATTTATTGATTCTGGTTTTCTTTTCAGAGATTGTAAAGTCAAAGTGGTATATAGAGAATTATGGTTTACAGAACCATGTAATATAGGTTTTCTGTGTGTGTGTATACATAAAAATCCTTGAGAGAAAATCTCTGCATAGTCAGAATCACTAATTAGTACTTGATTGAGAACGAAGTAAAAAAGTTGCTCAAATTATGATCAATTCTACCATTAAGCTGATTTCTCTTTCTCCCATCCAATATTAATTAGCAATACATGTTGTACATAACTCAATATTTGAGAAGGATTCTAAAAATATATATTAAGGGTGGTCAATATGAAATCCTTATAAATACCTCTCCAAGGAATTCACTGAGTTCTCCTTTTGGGCTATAGTCCCAGACTGTGATTTGAAGCATCCGATGTTTGATCTGGGAGAGACGGAGGTCTGACAGCCTGACGGTGTCGTGCCATTGGGGCTCATTGGAATGCAAGACAGCTATAGAACGACCCTTTTTAGGCTGTTCACTATTAATAGAGAAAAATAAAATGGAGTAATAGATAAGAAAGTATGACATAATGAAGTGCAGTATAATTCAAAACTTTTTTTAAAAAAATCCAGAATGCAAAATAAAAAAAACTGGAACAATTTTCACGCTACATTAGGAAAAAGAAATTACACAGTTTGAACTTCTGTATGATCAGAAAATGCTTGCAGTTGCAAAATTTTAAAATTAAAATTGTTTAATTTTGATTTTTAAATATCAAATTGGTCTTGGTTTTCATTATAATCTTACAAATAGGCATTATTACAGAATCAAAAGATACAGGGGTTGAAATTGACAGATGTAGGCTCAATTTCAGAAGCACGGTAAACAAGTGTTCGTAAGCCTGCTATCATTTAGTTAGGGGGATGTGATGAAAGATTATGAGGAGAAAGTGACACTACAAACGGTTTCTGATAAACAGTAGTGAGAAATTTATTGGAATCATGAGTAATAAGAACACCTAAGAAAAGTAAACATTTATTTTTCTACTGTTTAAACGTGAAGTGAATGCAAGGCTTTATAGAATTCATAATATTGGGAACATAATCAATGTCAGCATTGTCCATCAATGTGCGTTCAACATTTGTTAACATATCGTCTAAAATAGAACTTAAATAGATCAAAGAGTTTGACTTCAAAATGGTGCATATGCAGGTCACTTAAGAGGATGCCATACTGCTGAGTTCAGACAAACAAAGAATATGCCATGAAGTTTCAAATACTGAAAAGAAATTTTCAAAATATCAAAATGAAAATAAATTGTGAGATGATAACTTAGGATTACACAAAGGAGAAGTTCTCTTCCAATAATTTGTTTGCATTTTAATATTTTGAAGTATTTTTTTCCCAGCAACTGAAACTTCGTGACTTACTTTGATTTGCTTGAACTTTCTTTTCTCCAGCAGTATGGGGTCCTCTTACGAAGGAGATGAGAGGATTACTCATAGCTAAGCCATCAATTATTCATCAAAATTTACAGTTAAAAGTCAAAGTGGACTGCTCCAGGCAAAGGCAAGTAAGATTTACTAAGTCAATTTCAACCTTGGCAAATTTCACAAGAATTAATTACAATAATTATAATAATTCATGTAATCTTTTCTTAAGGCAATTAACGATCATGAGACCAACGAAGGAACATTAAGTATTACGAGACGAATTCATACTAGAAAATAGGGATAAAATTGAAACAAACTGCTTAAAGAAGCGGAGCTGAAATTAGAAACAATTGGACTAAAAGGAGTATTAGGAACTTGAAGTAAAGCATAAAACCTAGCACAGTGAGAATTAGTAGGTGTAAGAGAATATTTGAGATAAGGTAATAATTACAGGAATGATGGCAGTCAACTCATTAATGCTAGAATCTTTAAGTAATACTTTATATGGGCCTTTATCAATGGATTTTCGACATTCTTTGAGATACTTAACTTTGTCTAGCGCTACAATTTGACCAACTTTATCACTTTCAGTAATATCTATGTCCGGGCTAGACTTCAAAGATTTCAATTCAGAAAGAACAATTTTGAAAGATTGTTGGCAGAAGGTCTGAAATTTAAATCAACAGTATCAATTGCTTGATTGTTTCTAATTAGTTCGTTTTGAGAGGTTCTGAGTGTTAGGTTCGTTACTGTTTAATGTAAGAGAAGAGAGTTTGGCAATTGATGGATTTTTTTAAAAACTTTATCCTAAAGATTGCATTAAGAATTATTAAAAAAAAATCGTGCAAAAATATTAGAGCTTGTGTGCCTACACATCCCCAGAAAAAAATAATTTAAAAAAATGTCCCCGACTTTTCCAGACTAATTTTAATAAATTTCCCGACTTTTGTAACCGGTGGCAAAAGTTTTATTATTAATTTCTTGGTAATTTTGTATTCTTATGCAAAAAATATATTACAAAACCCTTCTACATCTTTTAAAGTTGAAATTCCTTTTAAATGATTACAAAACCAATTTTTTTGAAGGAAAAAAAAAATATTCCAGTTTCAAACTCAAATTAATTCATTTCCTCAAACTATTTGTAGATTTTAATTAAATTCCCTGATTTTTTTTCACATTGTTATAATTCTCTGAATTTTATCAATTCTTCCACAATGTATAACTAAAAACAAATAAATAAAATATCAATGTCAAGGAAAAAGTTAAGTGAACCAAAATTTTGCTTTATATTTTGCAGATTACTCCGTAATTTAAATAAAATAGTGTCTTTTTGATGTAAATAATAAATGGCTGCATATAAAATAGTAAAAGTAAGTTTTCAGACTTAAGGTTTAAGTAAAAAGAATAATTATTATACTGTAGCATCAAATAAAATAATATACAATGAAATTTTTAAAATTAATTTCAAATTTTTTTTCTTAAAATATTAGATAGTTTTTCTTGTTAAAATGCATACAATAATGATAAATGAAATATTACAATAACGAATAAAAACATAATGCATGCATACAATACAAATTTGTTTACACTGTTGCAGAAAAAAAATTTGGAAAATAAGCGCCTCATTTTAATTTAAGCTTTTGTTCGTGACATATATAATGTATTTTTAACAAGATAAAAAGTCACTCAAAAAATTACATTTTTAAAGTAATTTTATAAACTATAAAATATGTATTTGCTGATGTTCCATTCTATATTAAGCATTTTTAGAGACAGAATGATTTAACTTTAAGTTTGGTCACATTAATTTGTTTTCATAGATATTTTTGCAGGAAGAAATGATATATAAATAACATATGCATTTAACAATAACATATTTATGTTTTTTTTTAACCCACTGGCGGTTAAGGAAATGGGCAAAATTGGGAGAATGTTTCTCCCCTACACACAGTTCCCCTATCAGTTAACATGGGAAAACCGGTTTTGCTATGCAGAGAAGACTGCAGGTTAAAATGCGACTTTTTACGTGCAGAACCGTCAGTGGGTTAAAGTGAGATTTACGTTTAAACTCAAAACTAAAAAAATTACATTAAAAAATATTTACATGAATCATAAACATTTATTTAATGAAATAATTTTTTTAAAAAATGTTTAAAATAGAATAATTAAAATTTAAAAAAAATAATTTGGTTTAAACCAGCCAACCATGATTTTAAATGGTTTACATTCTTGGTATTCAAGCGAACTTAGCAGATTTTTTCTAAGTTTCTTCTTTGTACCAAGGAGAAATACAAGTGAGTAAAATTAGCAAAAAAATAATTTGCATTTGCTTAAGAAACTTCCTTTAAAATTTGATGACTGAAATGTCTTTAGCTGTTTCTTTTACATTCCACAAATAGACGAAAGGTTTCGTAGCAGGTCTATCGAGAAATGACCAGAAAATTATTCTTTTAAAGAATCTGAAGAAATTGTTCAATTCTTGCTATGTATTAACAAGTGTGCAAACGTAAATATCTTTAAGATATGCAAAAAAATATTATTTATATCATATTATGCAACATTTTCTCCTGTTACCCACTTGACAGGGAGATTTTGCTACAAAATAGTCTTTGTTACATTGCCTATCCCTATTTTGAATGAAGTTCCTTTTTGTACTTTAGTTATAGTTTATACTGAATAGTTATCTCGTATATACTGAAATTTTTCTCCTAAAATTTTCTTTACTAAGTATTAATATTACCAATAGGATATAGCATTTTAATTAAAATGCATATTTAAGAAATAATTTTTCAATTAACTATAAAATATTATAACTTCTTATTTTTTCAGAATTTTCGACTATATTGAGCTAAATATTTGTTTTTCAAGCTGAAATTTTCCAAGTGTTCTAAAGTAGATGAAAGAAAACTTTTTAGAGAGTGGGAATCAAAATAAATTTTCTTTCTACATCAGAGAGAACAATACTATGCCCTGAAAATGATTTACAGAACATGTAATGAACATTAATTAAAATATTGGTAATAAATGATATTTTCTTTACTAATATTAATATTACTAATAGGGAGTAACATTTTTCAAATAAAATGTATATTTGAGAAATAATTTTTCAAGAAACTGTAAAATATTATCACTTTTTCTTATTTTTTTCCAAACTTTTAGACAACATTGAGCTAAATAATTTTTTGTTTAAGCTGAAATTTTATAAGTGGTCTTGAATAGATCAAAGGAAACTTTTTAGAGAGTAGGAATCAATATCAATATTTTTTGGGACACCATAACGAACAATACTATGTTCTGAAAATGAATTTACAGAGCATGTAATCAACATTAATAAAATAAAGTATTTACCCAGGTCTGTTGGGAAGAAGAACAACTTTGCAGTAGGGACTCCTAGGTTCAGTATTGAGGCGTGGTGGGAGTCTCTTGGCACACTCCACAGTTACAAGGAGGTGAGAATTCTGGTGGTCGCAAGATAACTTTACCTGAAACAAATTCAATGACGAGACTCATTATATCAATAGTATGTAACACGCTACAATGCCTCAGGTTTTTAGTCTAAATATGAGAATTATAGAAAAGGAAATAGTGCATTATTTTTCTTTTTTTAAAAAAAAATATTACTGAAGTGTGTCTACCACTACGGTTCTTAAACATCAGTTTACTGGTATATAAGACACGTTAACTCGATTCAATATTGGGGTACCTTTTGATAGATAAAGGTTGACTTTGCCCAAAGATCATTCCTCATATTGGTGACCTGGACGTGATATGAACTCGCATTGAAAGTAACGCACACATTGATGGATGGTTCACATTGAACAGTTGACTTACTATTTCAGGGTGCGTAGCCAAATCTTTGAATCAAAAATAAGCACTTTTTAAAAACTTTTCAAGCACTTTAAAAAAAATTTCAAGCACTCAAAAAATTCATATTCAATCAATGATGTTATTGAAAAACAAAAAGTATAGTAATAGTAAACTTTTCATAAAGAGTTTTAGCGTTAAAAAAAAACCAAAAAGAAACGGACGTAAATCAAACTTTCCCACATCACCGAGTGAATTCAACTTGACCCTGAACTCAGAACAAAAGTACCCTTACCCCCTACGTCAAAAAAGTGTTAGAAGTAAAATAAAATAAACAAGAATAAAATCAAAATAAATTAAAAAGAAAAACATTTAATAAGGATCTGACTCTATCCGAATTGGAGCACTCGGGTTTCAGTTTCGAGTGTGCGCAAGTCATAACGTGGGTACGACATGAAGTCCGCGTGAATGATTGCGTAGCAAACACCCCATTTTTCGTGAAATGCATGGGATCCACCAGATATCACTGAAGAAAAAAAAATTATTTGTGGAAAAAAGCACTTTTTAAAAACACCAGCTGAAAAAAGCACCTTTAAAAGCTTTTAAAAACGAAATCCCCAAAAAAGCCCCTTAGTACTTTTTACAAACGCTATGCACCCTATATTTGTAACTGCAACACCGTCCTCCTCACGCTGTTGCTTCTCAGGCTCATTTACACACAACGGGATCCTGTACACACTTGAGTGCTAATAGCAACACAGGAGAGACCATACACACAACCATGAACATAACACAGCTCTCACGAAAAACACTCAAAACTCAGTGAACTTAATACAGCTCTCACCTCAAGCACTCAGAATCCAGTGAACTCAATACAGCTCTCTTGGTCTTTTGCAAATACGGCAACTAATGGAATCCGATCATCCAATTCGATCACTGATAAAATTCTGGGGGGAATACTGTAGTGTGTCTATCACTAGGATTATTAAACATCAATTGACTATTATACATGACATGCTAACTCGATTCTATCTTGGGGTGCCTTTTGACATTGGTTGACATTGTTGACATTGACATTGTTGACATGGTTGACATTGTTGAAATGGTTGACATTATTGAAAGCTCATTCCCCACAATGACCAAAGAAAAATCAGTTTTTTTAAGACAAAGCATTAATTTTACCAGCTTATTTGGTTGTTATTCATAATATCTGATTAGGAAAAAAAATTAAATATCAGTGAGTTAATTACAAAGAAAAATAATTTTTTTTGCACAACAACGTAATTATTTTATGACACAAAAATTTTACTTTTGCCTATTTGGTCATTTTTATTATCCGATAACAAAAAATATTTACATATTTCTGAGTTTATAACAAAAGAGAAATAATTTTTTCTTTGTTCAATAAATCAATTTTTTTATGAAATTAAAATTTTAGTTTTACCAGCTTATTTGGTTATTATTAAAAATATCGGATTGGAAAAAACATCAGTGAACACAGAGAAATGGCCTTTAAGTCTAAAAAAGTCTATGAAGGGGAAAAGGGTAACGGCACTGTCCTGTGGCAAAAACATCAATGACAGGAATAGCTTATACATCTCTGTCTCGCTATTACGATGATTAATCAAGTTATTATTAATAACGTGACAAAGCCGTGGTGGCTTAGGGGATAGAGCGCTCGCTTCCCACTGTAGTGAATTAATGTCGAATCCCAGTGATGGCTGGTTGATCTGAGTTCCGCACCCGGTTTGTACTGACATAAAATATTCTAGTGGTAGACGGATAATGGGTTAGAGTCCTCTTGCCTTCATGGGTTAGAGTCCTTTTTATGGTCTTCTTCTTCATGTAAAGCAAATGCGAGTTAGATCCTTTAAAAAGTCCTCCGCGAAGGTAAATTTCTCCTAATACTCTATCCAGGAGTTCCCTTGTCTTCTGGATCAGGTTCAAAATTACGAGGCTATGGAGCTGAACATTGGTAGTCGCAAACCCCAAATTAGGTCAGCTGATCAACGACTGTTATAAAATAAAATAATGCATGACAATTACAAAAAAAACTTGCCTTTCTCATTAAAGAGAAACTGCTTTTTCCTCCTTTCAACAAATACTAAATAATTGAAATCGTACTAATTAATCATACATGAGAAAATCATATTTCATACTTCATTTATTTGCCATTAGTATATGATGTCTAGGGAATGTGAGAAATGTTTAATCACTTTGAAGACTGATTATAGTATAATAATGTATAATATGTATTATATGTGCATATAATGAAATACAGACCTGTATTTGTCCTCCTACTACTGAATTAGAACGCCTTGAGGATGAGTACCTGGAGTAGTACCTCTGATGATGATCATGGAACATACCTCCTTTAAAAACAATATAAAGTTTTTTATTTACTCTTCATTAAGAATATTAAAAGTAAGTAATTACGAGGAAAGATTTTTATAATGTACTCCTTGAAACATGGAACTTCTTGTTATACAGTATTTCGTGTAACATAGATCCTTTCACTTATCATTAAACTTACCTACTAAACACGAAAATATATATCAAGAGCAAGTCATTATTATTGCTTTACAATGATTTTTAAATAAAAATATTTTAAAACACAAAAATATCCACTTAAGTATTCATTGTTTACAAAGAAAAAATAAGCTATTAAGATCATTCAAACTAAAAATCGACAAAATTACCAATCAGGTTGCATAGTCAGATTTTTCAACAAAAAATAAGCACCGTTTAAGTACTTTTTAGCACTAAAATTTTTTTTAATCACTTTCAGAAAAAAAAATCATAATTAAGATCTGTGCAGTAATAAAAATTATTTTTTTCTGTCGTTTAAAGTTCTTAAAAATCAATAAAATTCAAAAACATTTTCACAGACTTCACATAATCATGATAAAATAACTAATTTCTGATAAATATTGCAGAGAAAATTGGAAAAATCATGCCTTTTTTGTAATTTAGAACAACAATCGACACGGCAAAGAAAAAATCTCTTTTTAAAAGATAGAAAATTAAGCACCTTTCACAAACCCCGAATAAAAAAAACGCATTTAAGTGCTTTTAAAAAATGTAAATCAAAAATAAGCACCTTTAAGCATTTTTTAAAAAAAGTAAGCATCCAGTCAATTTTAGTTAGGTCAAAGAAGTCCCAACGTAAATAGAAAAGTACAAACAAAAAATATAAAAAATAAGAATGATACTTGAGTACTGAAGACTTAAGATTTCTTCTCGTGTAATAAAAATACAACAAATAATTTCACTTCATTTAAAAAATCTAAGCTTTCATTTTAAGAGAATAAAGAATAGTTTGCTTTTTAACATAAATAATATGTAATGCATAATTAATAAAAACTAATATTTTTGAGCATCTTCCTAATTTAGGTTTGGTTAGCTTGTATAAATTTTAAAATAAAATTACGGCTTAATACTTAAATTAAATTTAAATAATGAATTATAATTTGAAAAAACTGTATTAACATCAAGTGTCATCCATTACAAGTTTAAAAAAATGTATATGAACTTGAGTGGATGCAAAAAAAATATTTTATTAACAATTGAAAATTTGAACAAGATCGGAATAGAAGAAAAAAAATGAAGTGATAACTATTTTGCTGTCGCCTCAGTAACTGCTTTCATAAAATAACTCAATGGAAGCATGAAAAACAGGAAACTCATTTCTGTACAATCTGAACATGAATTAATAGGGACTTGCCTCTATTCATGGCCTCTGGATGGACTTCTAAGTGAGGTGGAGGTATCCTTCGCAGATCACAAGGTAACTCCTCTGCAACATTTGGAGCATTCCGTCTGAAACAATAATGATATTTAATTAATTATTAAAATTTTTCATTAATGAGTCACAATGAATGGGATTTTTTAAATTTTAGTAATACAGGGTTGCCACTCAAATCCGTAAAAAAAAATTCCCCGTGTTTTCCCTGTACATATTACACATAATTTATTAAGACAAAACACACAATCACTGTGCTCTTGAGTGAACTATATTAGTCTAGATATACAGTGCACTCCCGATTATCCGGGTTAATCGCACGGACAATCGAAAAACACGGATAATCCGAAAACTCCTTTTATTAAAGAAAAATTCAATATCAGTACAAAAAATATAAAAATTACTGACATTTGCATGCATAACATCAAACTAGAAATTTTCCTTTTTAAAAAATGTGTAATGCGTCTTCGCCATATATCGATACACATATTTTACGAACCGCAGTAATGTCACCGTAATCAAATCCTCCCATATAATCTAATAAAGTTTCCACAGAGCAGCAGAATGAGAAATTGTATTTCATTCATTTACTACATCTTCTGCATCAGTTACTATCATCACTATTTGATTTAACAACATAACGATGTCTTCATCAGTCAAATACTGGAAGCCAGGCTCACATGCATCACTTTGAAACCAATCTTCTAAATTTTCTTCATCAAGAATTTCGAAACCTTAGATTTCTTTTGCTTGTTCGAGAATACTGTTATCATATTTTTCTTGAACATCTGAAGAGGATTGTTCATCAAGCGGTATGATCTTTCTCCAAGATCGTCATAACATAGACGATTTTACCTTTGACCATGCTGCTGATATTCCATATACTGCAATCCAATAACGAATATTGCTTCCAAAAATTTGGTAGTGTTATAACTTCGTGAATCAAATTTTTTGAATCTTGAAAATGTTCTCTTTATATTTTTTGTGTGACTCCAGAATGAGCACAGTTAATCCGCAAACCGGATAATTCGCACACGGATAATCGAGAGTGTACTGTACTAGTTTCAATTGCTGGAAAAACTTAAAGAGATAAGAAAAAGCTTAACATATTTAACGAATATTGCTTCCAAAAATTTGGTAGTGTTATAATTTCGTGAATCAAATTTTTTTAATCTTGAAAATGTTTCTCTTTATATTTTTTGTGTGACTCCAGAATGAGCACGGTTAATCCGCACACGGATAATCGAGAGTGTACTGCACTAGTTTCAATTGCTGGAAAAACTTAAAGAGATAAGAAAAAGCTTAACATATTTAAAACAAATAATGCTATAGTAAATAAAATAGCTTAATATAGCCAAAATATTATCCTTAAATATCTCATAAATTGCACTTTGAGTGGTCACCACTTTTAAAAGACGAAAATAAGAAATGAAATTCCCTGTACTTTCCCAGTTTGTAAGGAACAACTAAAAATTCCCTGCATAATCATGGAGTTGTCAACCCTGTAATAGGCAATAAAAAGGGAACACTTCATTGGAAGCATTATGTAGTCATTTTTAATGAGCTAAAAAATGTTTTATCTTTGCAAGTTACCAATAACAGGACACACACATAAGACAAGATCCTGTTTGGGATTATTAATCAACTAGCAAAATAAATTATATTTCCATATTTTATTTGAATGATTGTGACTAATGTAGTTGGCAATACAGGTATTCAAGTTTCAAAAGAAAAGATACAGAAATCAAAGAGAATGCAGGTGATCTAATTTATGCTGACTGTGTTCCTTTCGGTCTGGTACGTAAACATATTTATGCAAAGGTATTTGGTCTGGGACATTTGTATGAATCAGTTTATTCTGAAAATGTTTGGCTTTTCTTTAGAAGTTATAAATTTCAGTAATGATTGTTTAAATGTATGAAGAATAATGTGAGAATTCTTTTATAGTTTCTTAAAGAAAAGCATGTAAGTTACACAAACTAATTTATTAATAGTTTCAAAATCATATAACTTAAGTTAGGAATAAAAAAAAACAGTAAGCTATACTTGATCAGAAATGCACCATCATGCATACCAAGAATTATTCGAATTTCGGTTTTGTGAATTTTTCTATATCTCATAAAAATTTCTTTTACTTATAAATTCCTTGAGCAATGTTAAACAATCTGGTTTTGAAGATTTTTTCAGCTTTTCCCTTGATAACTTGAATATTTTTTACACATATATAATAGAAATCCTTTAAAAAAAATAATAAAAATCTTGTGTTGCTTTCAATTATTTGATAAAATATTTGTTTAGAAATTCATCATGAGGCGGGTGCTCTCTTGCATTCAAGTAATCTATAATGCAGAGCTACTCCTTGTAGGAAAAAGATAACTTTTTTATTCTATTTGTCTTGGATGATGCAAAAAAACAGAAAAAGAATATAAATAATTTTAAAACAGCATTTAGATAAGGTGAGATCTCCTTTAAGATATTTGTTCAAAATGGCAAACAATCAAAAATAATAAGAAAGATGCAAATTACCAAGAATTTGACGAAAAAGAAAGGCTTTTAAAAAAAAAGGAAAGGGTAAAAGAATTTGAGATTCCAATCAACAGACTGCGAACAATTTTAAATTACGAAAAAATTAAAACATTCAAGGTCAAATACATAAAAGGACACATTCAATGCTATATCATCCACTTGGAAAGTGTCATTGATAAAATATTGTATGCTACTCACAAGCAAACAATAATTTTACATAGCACTGGACTAGATTACTTTTTAGAAAACATTGTAAAAAAAAACTCTTCTTTTCAGTAACAAGCAATATTTGATGACTTAAAATATTGATACTATCTCAAATTTTGAGACATCAAGATTAGACTACATAATCAAAAAATGTCACAAAACATTTCTCGAAAGAAAAAAAAACGTTTTTAAAAAACATCACTAAAAAGAAAATCGCTCTACATTCTATATTCAAGAATAGAAATATTAGTTTTATAGAAAGTTAAAGTAAAATTGTAACGTCTTATAAACAAATGTACTAATGCTTGACTAATTTTAATTGTACTAATTTAAACTTATATTAAAAATTAGTCAACATGTTTTCACAGATTGATTAATTAAGAAATTTTTTTTTATGCTGTAAAAGAAGATTGGAGAGAGCACCTCAAAATATTGCGTGTAGAAGAGATCAAAGTAGAGTTTCAGCATTAGTTAAAAGCTGATACAATTGAGTATCAGTTATAAAAACCTGATATTTTTTGCATAAGATGCATTATCAATATTAATTTAGACTTAAACACAGGAGGTGAAAAAATATAAAATAAATTTTCCATTATTTTTAACACTTTTATTAGCTTTTAAAGCAGATTGAAGACAAGATTAAGAGCCCTTTTGGTTTTATAATAAAATCGTAGTTGATTTAAATTGAATACAAACTTTAAATATTTTGTTAAAAAAATTAACACATATAACATGCATTTATTATTCTTACTTTTAATGAAGTAATCATGTAACAAATCTATGAATTTAAACAGGATATAATTATCTTAAAGTTAGGTCAAAATAATAAACTATATTCAATACAGGACAAAACATTTTTTAACTTATTTATTTTCATACTATTGCCTGTAATGAAGAGAAAAAAGTTTCAGATATTAAAGGTCTCTTAGAACTGATTCAAAGTGAGCTTTAGATGAGTGCAAGAAACTATCTCCGAAATAATTTGAAACTTATCTAATGTGAGTTGATATGAATACCTAGTAGGAATGAATCTAGTTACAGAACTTCTTTCATTCAGTTAATACTTATTCCTTCCTTAACATGCAACAGCAATTTAATACTGAACTGGATTAATAATAAGAATTCAATGAAAGTGGTATGGCAATCTAGATGTTAAAACACATAAGATTTAGTTATTTTCATCTGATTTTCAAGTAAGTATTAGAGTTTTTATGATTAAACTTCTTATTTTATAAAGTAATTGATAGTGAATGAACTCGTTCATTGTTGCTGTCACCAGCCATTAAGGCAGAGGGGGTGCGTTTGTTCTTATTTTCCAGTGGCGCCATCTATGGTCAAGAATTCGACTTCACCTATATGTCACAAACGTTTATAGGGCGGTCCCATTCACACATCCATTCATTAATCCAAAGATCGTAATTTTGACCAGAACTAGAGAATGATCAATCTCCAATTTAGTACCCCCAGAGGTATTTGTTATGGGAACATGGAGGACATTGTGACCAGATAGATTTAACGTGCACCAGTCACCAATTACTTCACTGGAGTCTACTGCAGGCTGGATTGGAAATCCTGTTCTAACGAACGGGAGTCCAGCGCCCTGCCAGGCAGGCTATCCCGGCCCAGATGAATTCAAGATGAATTTATTTAAAATAAATTGTACTATTAAGTAATAAGTACAAAATATCAGATACACTAATCCCGATCCACCTCTAGCGTGAAGTATATACTGAAAATTAATCCTCACCCGCAAGGCCTGTGAATAAGTAGTTGCACTTGGGGATCATTCTTAGAAATAGCAATGATGTTGGCCACTTCTTCTTTACGGCGACCACGAAAAGACACTCCATTCCACTCCACCACTTCATCTCCTGAAAATAAACACTCATTCATTTATATTTATGTTAGTGAAATTAGACTTAAATATTACCCAAAATAAAATTTCTTTATCTACATAAAAAAGATGTGTGTTGACAAAGTTATTGTCAATCTATTACAAGGTGCATAGCCATAACTTCCAACAAAAAATAAGCACCTTTTTTTAAGCACTCAAAAAATATTTTTAAGCACCATATGCATTAACAAAATGCAAAATAATTTTCATGATAAAATAAATAGTTCTTGACAGGGAACTCTTTTCTTGATTATATTGGCCATTAAAAAATTATCAAGAGATTTTTCGGTTCGATTCCAGAGGGTGGAAATAAAGCTTGAAATTGAGAATATCTTGCAAAATGCAGCAGAGTTGCACTTAAGAGTGCAATAATCTCACTGAAGCCAGCTCAGTAAACGCATATGCGGACTCGCAAGTATTTCATCAAACCTCTAAAATGACTTGCGCTTTCATATGCTATGGGCCGACGGTACGCTGAAATAGATTGTGGTTGAATGAATTGTGAAAACGTTGAATAGAACAATAAGAAAAGCACGCTTTTGCACAATATGTGACGAAAATTGACACGGCAAAAAAAAATTCTCATTTTCAAAAAGAGGAAATTAAGCACTTTTTAAAAACACCCAATGAAAAAAAAACCTTTAAGGGCTTTTAAAAAACACAAATCAAAAATAAACACCTTTAAGCACTTTTTAAAAATGCTACGAACCATGTATTATTACCTATGATTGAGCAACTCAAAGAATTTCTCTTAAATTAAAATATTGTTCTTCAGGTAGCCTCTTGAAGGGATTTTCTTACATTCGCTGAATTATTATTATTCGCTGAATTATTATCGAGAGAAATGTTCAATAATATTCGAGTGTATTTTGTACCAGTTGTACCAGTTATGTTTGTTCAAGTCATAGCTATTATATCTATTGAAAAAAGAATGCCTAGAAGCATTGTATTTTTTATCTATCATAAAATGCTGATTAAATACTCCAAAATTTTGAAGAAAAAAAGATACTTTTTTGTGGTATTACTAAAACGGTACCGAATGTAAAATAACAATTATAATCCGTTAAGTTTCAAAATCTTCATGCTTGATATGATACATGTCAGAAATACAAATAAATGTAATTATAAGAAACGTAAACAATGTAAAAAATTAAATAATTTAATTAAATAGATTACTGACATTTATTCTCATTTAGATCATTTTTAATCATTGCATTCATTTAATGCTTGCATGAAAAACGTTGACAGAATCGCACAAATAAAATTAAGAAAAACCAAATGTAAATATGAAATTAAATGTAATTTTTTCAATTTTACTAGAAAATTTAATCATAAACAACAAATAAAATTAATAACATCAAAACAATACACAACTAAAATTAAAGAAAAACAAAACATAAATATGGATTTGAATGTATTTTATACAATTTCATAAGGAAATTTAATGAGAACCTGCAAAAACATCAAAAGAAAAATTGGACTCAGTATCAAAATTGATATAGTATTGCTCATCATTCAGATTGTCAGTTTCCTGATTTGTTGGTTAAGGTTTCCTGGTTTACACAACTAAGAATGGAAAGAGCTATATTCATTGTCTTTAAAGTGAGATCAAAACTATAAACTATCACGCTAAGCCAGTTTTTTTTTCTTTTTTAATTCTTCGGAGTATTTCTAAGAAAGCAAAGCCCTTTCATTCTTTCAACTACTCATTTATTCACCCATTTTTTCCCGTCTCTCCTATTTGTTTCGTTTTTATTTTATCTACATTTCTATTTCATTTTTAACATTTTCTATTTCACGTTTTAATCCAATAAGGCTCTTGTTCAGTATACTACGGTATAATGCAAGTGTCACTTTAAATGGCACATTCAATCAGCACTTTATGTAAGATAAGAACAACAAGATGCCTTATTAGATCAATTACTGTGTCAGGTTTCCAATTATTCTATTAGCTTTCCAATTATCATTTAAATATAGCAATAGTGTCAAAATTAGTTAAGTATTTTTCATTTGTAGGCAATTATTCATGGTATCTTGAGCATTAATAATGTAATGAATTTGCATCATAAGGCCCACAATCAGGGTTCGCCGAGTGGGCCCACTTTGAAAAAAACCACCCGAGTTTTATTGGGTGGGCCCACCTTGAAAAAACTCACTTGGAACGATAAGAGGGTTTTAAAAAAAAATATTTTTATGAAAACTTATTGATGCACATTTAATTTTATATAATTTATTGTGCAACATAAACTTGTCAAATAGAGTTGCATGATTTATATGATTAAGTTTTTAATATTTGCTAAGTAAAAGAAACTCGAATCTATAATTTTATAGTACTATTGAAAACTTTAAGTGGGTTTTTTCAGAAAGTAATATTTAAGTTAAATTAAATCGAATAGAAATTTAAATAATATAGCTTAAAATCATCAATTTTTCAAATATAGTTGCATGCTTTATATCAGTGTTTCCCAAAGTGTGGTACGCGTACCCCAGGGGTACAGGAACAGATTAGCGAGGGTACGCGTTCTTATGCGAAATATCTGCTACAAACGAAAATTTCAAAAAATTTTACTTAAAAACAAAGCTAGCCAAGTAAACTTATGATTAATTATTTTTCTATGGTATTATTTTTCTATGCAGTAACTATTTTTCTATGCAGAGTAAACAGTTAATTAGTGCTGTCAACAGCCAGTTGTGATTTTTAACTTTTGTGCATATTTTTTATAGTAAAAAATACATTAATTTTTTATTAGTGGTACGCAGCATTGCGATAAATTTAGAAAGGGTACCCAAAAGTTATAAGTTTGGGAAACACTGCTTTATATATTAATATATTATTATTAATTGATATGTTTAAAAAAATTGAAAAGAAACAAATTTTTTTTTTACTAAGTGATACATTAACACATTTAAACAGTTATTTTCTGGCTTTAAAAAAATAAGCTAAAACTTTTTATAAGAGTACTTTTTAAAATTATTCATCTAAAAATAATATCATTTTCTTAATTATTTGAAAAAAATGGGACGAGTAACTGATACTCTTTATAATTATACATATTTTCAATTTCACTTTTTTTAATCTTATTATAAAAACATGGAAGACCACTATTAAATATTTATTTCAATTTTTTATTAAAGTCAAAAGTCAGATGAAATTTTAGTTTTCACTTATTATATATATTTACAGATTATAATTTTATAATGATTGAGTCAAAAATTGTGAAACATTATGTACTTAATAAAGAAGATTCAAATATGTATTAGTGATAATGCGTTATTTAAACTTAATATAAAATACATGTAACAAAATTAAAATAACTTTTTGGATTTATTTCTATTTTTAAGCTTACAACACTTTTTAATAAATAAAAATATTATGAGCAATAAATGAAAAAACTCAATTTTCCCCAGGGTTTTTTCAAATAAAACCCAGGAAGGTTCGGTTTTCTCTAAAATACCCGGGTTTTTTCAAACCCTGCCCACAATAACGGGGGTTGTTATATCGAGCGCCAACTGTGTTAATTTGTTGATTACTTTGTTTCAATTTCCACGAGTTATATAAAAATACACTTACCAGGTTCTATTCTTGCTATTCGATCTGCCAGGCTGCCCTCTCTTATGTTCTCTACTATTGCCCGCATGATGCCTTCTACTATTTGACCACCAACCACCCTCATCCCTACATTTTGACGAGTTCGTCCATCTGGTCCCAGTTCCTTCTTCAGCACCATATTTCCTATGTACCCTCCGCCTTTTGATCTTGACCAGAACACATTGTGCTGCACCATTCAAAAATCAATAAATTTAGTTAGTCATCACACACAAAAATCCATGCAATTTATTAATCATATTCATGCTAAGAAATGTGATAAGCAGCTTTTTGAAATAACAAAAAAATATGAATATAAAGTGCACTTGTCAAACCTTAGCAATTTTTGCTAGATCCCCCCCCCCATATCAGGTTAAAATCTTCGTAGTATGCTGAGGCTCAACTATATAGAGCTATTTGACTTTTAAATATATTGTCCTATATAAACATTTATAAATTACCAACTTTTCAGTAACTGATTGATAACATTAACTTTAGTATAAGTAGATGGAACAGTAACAATAATTTTGGAGCAGAAGAAATGTGTCTTGGAACAAATACAAAACATTCGGAGCAGATGCTTGTAAAATTAAATTTCTGAACATATTTGAGTACATAAATGAACATTATCATACTAACTCAATACTTGTTCTTCGCATGGGACAAAAAAAAATTGATAAATCAATACTGAACAAAATCAGGCACAAATTTGAAAGTTATAAACTAATAAAACAGTTTAGTCACTATTATTTGTTGCTCCTCCAGTGGCTAGATAAATTAAGTAATATTATTAAAATTGTTGATGTAATGAAATTCCGAGATCAGTGGATCGGAGAAAGACATGTTTATTAGAACACAGAGAGTTACACAGTTGGAACATACACTGCGACAGTAGAAATAGGAAAGAACATCGGGAAAACAGAGTTACAAGTATTTATAGCCTTCTTGGGCTAAAAGTTAACGGCGAATCAGAACAATCTGATGACTATAACATGCGGACGTAGAAGAAAACTGCTTCAAATAAGTGCGATTACAGATTTTCCTCAACAAAAATATTTGAAAAAATGAAATAGTCTATAGGCTAACTCTTATTAAAAAATTCCATTTCTTAAACGGATCTACCAAACAAACAAGAAAGTGTTGAATGAATTTTAGGCATACTTGCCAACATTGGAGAAATAAAATAACGGATATTTTACTAGTGACATTTTCTAGGCGACGAGTAAAGTTTTGATACATCATGCATAATCATGTAAGTCAAAAAGAGAAATTCAAAATTGGAAATAATATAAGCACTTACATATAATGAAGTAAAAAATATGTACATAAATCTTAAAAGATGACATTTTTAAACCATTATAATTACTTAAACTATAAACACTCAACATACTGCAGTACTGGCAATAACACCATCTGATGAAAAACAAGAGAAGTATTTTTGCAATCAGCGGATATTTAATTGATATTTGTTTTTTTTATTTTAAAAATTCCTTCAACAAACAGGAAGAAATTTGAGAATATAAGGGTAAACAGGAGATAGTCGTAAAGTATAGGAGTCTTCGTTAAAAAACAGGAGATTTGGCAGGTATGTTTAGGTCCATAACCTGAACAATTAGATCAACAATCAAGCATGCAGGTCACAAGAAATAAAACAACATACCTAGGTGGAGGTTGAAACTGGACTAATATTTTATTATAGATAAGAGATTATATTTATGACAGCACTGCTGCCATCTATGTACATTCATGTTAAACTAACTCATTTAACAATAAATAATTAATAGCTTAATTGTAAGAAAAGATTTCAATTTCTCTTACAATGAAATGATGAAAAAATTTTCATAGATACTTTAGTATTTAAAAATATATAATAGCTTAAATAAGCTATACCTAATATCAACGTCTGCAGTGTACCAAATATCTTCTGTCTGGATAATTATCAGGAACCTAGCAACTCCACACTGACCCGAAGCCTCACACCAAACAAGTCTATGCAGGTCGCAGAGAATGGGACTTTCCATTAGAGCACCCCACATTGTGAATACCGCCCATCAAACAATTTATTCCAAGTTAAGATCCAAGAACAGGCCTGTACTTTCAGGGTACATAGCCAAATATTTCAACAAAAAATAAGCACCTTTTAAGCACTTAAAAAATATTTTAAGCACTACATACATTAACAAAATTCAAAATAATTTACCTGATTATATTAGCCACCATAAAAAAATCGAGAGACTTTTCGGTTCGATTTCAGAGGGTGGAAAATGAAGCATGAAATTGAGAATATCTTGCAAAATGCAGAAGAGTTGCACATGAGAGTGCAAGAATCTCACCGAACTTGGCCCAGCAGACGCACAAGCGGACTCGCAAGTATTTCATGAAACATGTAAGTAGCTTTCATACACTATGGACCGACGAAAGATTGTGGTTGAATGAATTCTGAAAACGTTGAACAATGCGAAAAGCACACTTTTGTGTAATATGTGGCGAAAATCGACATGGTAAAGAAAAAAATCTTATTTTGGAAAAGGGAAAATTAAGCACTTTCTAAAAATATCCTATGAAAAAAGCACCTTTAAGGGCTTTTAAGAAACGAAAATAGAAAATAAGCACCTTTAAGTACTTTTTAAAAACGCTATGCACCATGTGTTTTAAAGCAGGAATGAAGAAACTACTTTAAAAGCGACCTCTGAATCAACGAATACACAATTTTCTGATAATCTCTCACAGCCAGTAGGAAGGTGTCTACTTTAGGTTTATAATTAGTACAACTGGCACCAACAGCCCTGATGCAGCTAAAATGCTGAGGGTAGCTCTGCCTCACACCATCAGCACAAATAGCATAACCATCTGTTGTGTGAGTTGTGAAGAGTTTTGTGTATATTGTAAAACAGAACCACCTCATAGTGTGTGTATTGTGTGGAATAGACCCTAGCAGCAAAATAATTTGGGCCCTTATTGGACCAACATTCACGAATCTTGGCTTAATAAGGGTTCAAAGGGCCAATATTTTTCCGATATGGGTCCCCATATAGAATTGCCCGATTCACACGATATTTTACTGCCACTTGACAACCAATGTCGGCCCCATATAGAATTATCAGATTCACCCGATATTTTATAATCATTATTCAGCCAATATAAGCCCTTTATAGGTCGATATTGACACTGCATAGGACCAATATTTAAAGATCTAGACATCCCAATATGGGTCCCTCAGAGCATGTTCACATAGGACCCATATTGAACCCAACTGGGGATAAGGTATAATTGTTGCTAGGGGAGAGTGGATATACCCTTTATGAACTTTACATGAATTTCCACTTAAAATGAAGGAAAGCAGTTTCACCATCACCTTATTTTGGAAAACAATTAATTGCATTGCTTAATACGAACACAATAAATAAATTTCTCCTGTTTAAGACAAACATAACAAAGAAAACAACAAATCCTCATTATGATCATCCACATTGAAACAAGTTTATGAGTTAATGAGGATAGAGCTTAAAACTGAGATTTAAAGTCCCCATTATTTCATCTTGATCTGTGATTGGGGACCTCACAAACTAAATATGTGAGGGGGCATAGACCAACTGAAAGATAAGCACCTAACTAGGTGTTGACCCTGGGGGGAAAAAATGCTCTCTTTCCTCTGATGGGATTGGATTCTTTTTTTAAACAAGCTTGGAACACAAAATTTCTAACACTAGTCAATAAAAGAATTTTTTGAAGTCTAATTTAACTAATTTCTCCTAAGTCATTCATTTTTAAAAGAATATTACAGTTACTTTCTGCACTGCATGTTAAATTTGTACAAGATTGAAACCTGTAGTCTCAAACTAAAGGTTTTGCTCAGTATATTTTTTTCAGCACTGTATGCATCTAATTGATTGCAGAGTTGACTGACAAAGTATATCAAGCACTAATAAATTTTTGGTGCAATTGAAAGCGCATCAGCAGCAAAATGAAGAAGAAAAAAAAAGAATTGTAGCACAAAGACAGGTTGCTTAGACAGTAAAGCGCCAATTATCATGACTGACCAATCTGCAACTGGACAGGTCAGTTGTTGAAAAATCCATATAATTGAATAACTTAAGAAAACTGTCCGAAACTAATACAAAACTAGTCTTTGACCAAAATTTTCCAATTAGAATTAAAATATTAGAATTTTTTTTAATTTTTTGATATAGTTGATATGCTAACACCAGAGTATATATTTTTTCCATTTTTACCTCTTTTTGATCTTATAACAATCTAATTTTTTCTTGCTGCAATGCTAGTATTACACTTTTATTGCTATGAGTATTGCTTCTCAAAAATGTGTGAAAATACCATCCTCTGAAAACTTACTAAAAAATAAACTATATACGAGGTAGAGTCAAAGAATTTCGGCCGCAATTGTCGCCTACATTTAAGGTGTAGAAAAAGTATTTTTTTAGAGGTTGGCAGCAATAATAAAGAAAACACACAGACATCTGGAATTCATTTCTGGTACTATCAGCATTAGCTGCAGACCATTTTTGACAATACAAATTTTTCATTCATCAGACTTTAAAATGTCATCATTAGAGCAACATGCAAACATCAAATTCTGTGCTTTGCAAAATGAATCATCTTCTGAGATGAAGGAGAAAGCATACGGAAATAATGCCATGAAAAAATCGGCTGTGAATGAGTGGCATAAGCGCTTTCCTGAAGGTTGCACAAGATGATTCTCGTACTGGGCGCCCTTCCTCTTTATGAAAATATTGAGCTTATTTGCGAAATTGGCCGTGCAGACAGACGAATATCTGTTGATGCTATTGCCTCTGAACTTTAAATTACACATGAGAGGATTCACAGCATTTTTCAGGGTGATTTAAACATGTATCATGCTTGTTTGAACTTGATTCCAAAAATGTTATCTCTTGAACAAAAAGAAGTGAAACTGAACATGTGCAGGATTCCGTTGACATGATTGATGAAGATGACAGCTTCTTGAAGAAAATCATAACGAACATGAGGCACGGTGCTTTCTTTACGACTCTCAGAAAAAATGTCAGTCGAGTGAATGGAAAGCAAAAACTTCACCAAGGAAGGAAAATTTTTTGTTAGGGACAAAAGCAGAAGGACATTGATGTTGGAGGTGCTTTTCTATTATGAGGGAGTCACTCAATAAGAATTGATTTCTGAAGTCCAAGTCGTCAAGAAAGAAATTTATCTGGAGATTCTTGAATGACTAAGAGATGCAATCACATAAAAACAGCCTGAAAAACAGGCGCAACAAATGGGTTTCTTTAACAAGGCACTTCCACATCGCACTCTCATTGCTAAAAGATACCTTTCCAGACACAGTGTAACCACTCTGAAACACCCTCCTTATTCTCCCAGGGGATTTTTACCTGTTTCCACGGCTGAAAATGAAATTAAAGGGACACTGTTTTGTGGATTCAGATGAGGTGAACGAAAATGTGAAGTAAAGGGAGGACCCTCAGTAAAAAGAATCCAGGAGTGTTTTGAACAGTTGTACGAACGCTGAAAGAAGTGTGTAGATGCAGGAGGAAAGTACTTTGAAGGCCAATATAGCAAAAGCATTGTACTATTTTTTAAAGATTTGTAACTGACCTACACCGGGAACTTTTTGTCAGTACCTCGTACTTAAGTACGTGTTTTCAAAGCAAATGAAACTGGAAACCAACCTCTATAGCTCTAGGGAAAATACATAACATTTTCCCTTACTGGAGAAACTAAATATAAATGAAGTAAGTTTCTACACTAATTCCAGTTGCTACTCCACTATTTCTACTCTACTTTGTCGGGTTTTAAGGGCCTCCTCTGGTACTTCCTGGATTATTTGCAACAGCTCTTTTTGACAAGCTCCTCATTAAATATGGATAATTTGTACAATACTAATGCAAACAAAAATAACCCTTTGAAGGATTTGTCAACCATACTGCAGTGGAAAGCAGATGGACTTTCACAGGAAAAAAGAACAAAACTGAATTCATTGATCTGCGATATTGAAGTTTTTACATTCTTGAGAAACATTTGTGATGCAAAATCTGAACAATAAAATAATTCGGATAATTTTTGTCCAGTTAAATGGCGCTTTACTGTCATTTAAAAGTCTGAAAAAGAAGGCACAGAAAACATATTTGATTACCGCAAAGCACAATCTCATACTTTTTCAGGAATGTTTTGTGCTTTGCGGTCTCAATGGGGAAAAAAAGCAAGCAAAAGGTTATAACTTGGCTACCGGGTTTAAAAAATAAGAGAGAGAGGGGAATTGAGCACCTGTTGTGTGTCTTCATATAGAGTGGCACTACTGCTGGTGTCGATGCCAGAATCCTTTGTGTTACCATCCCCTCCGTCCCACGGACGAGACCTGAGGACGTGAGGGGGCTCTGTGCGGTGACAGGGGTGCCTCCGATGGCCATTCCCTGGAGAAACAACAAAACAACTTCAGTTGCCCATTTACGCACAGGCACACTTTTATACACACTTATATCAACCTTATCTAGAAAAATACTTGAGTTTCATTTGAATAACTCCTACCGCTGCCTCTCTTTCTGTGAGAATAAGGCAATCTTTTGCACAGCAGGGGGGAAAATATAAAGCATTGAGGAGAAAAAAATTATAAAAAGCAGCTGATCTGGGATGTAAGGGATCAGGGAGGAAGAAGGGGGCCCGGAGCCAAGAGGACGGACACACAGACAGAGAGGGATAATCTCACCGATGTGATCGGTTGGTAGTCCTCCTGGCTCCTTTGCCACCTGTAGTCTCTGATCTGGACATCCTCCTCCTCACTCCTTCTCGCCAACGACTGAACTGAATAAATGAAAGAAACAAAAGACATGTCACATCAATTTCACCACAACAATCCTGCCTCTAACATTTATTTTCAAAACAGGTTTTCTTTCCCCCATTTATACGTAAAAAATTTTTTTTATACATAGTAAAAATTAGAACTCATCCGAAACAAATAAAATATTTCACATAAAATGACGCATTTAACAAGCAAAATTATTTTAGAATTCTAAGAAGTTACTAATTTAAAATGTTAAATGTGATGAGTCTTTTTTCCTTTTACTTTCTAGGAAAGTGATTACCTAGTTTGTTCTCAAGGAATTCTAATTTTAAAAAAAGTAAAATTCATTATTTTCTCAATTCCTTAACTTTTGTGTCCTTAAGCAATATTTTTCATTAACACATTTATTTTTCTTATTTAATGGTATCTTTAAAATTCACAAGTAAAAATAATATATATAAATACGCAAGAAGTTTAAAATATAGGTAAAATGTCATTACTGTCCCATGCCTCCAGCATACATTTTTGAATTTTCGAAGTAATTCACTATATTACGAAAGAGTTACAGAGACAAATGCATGCATATTCAGATATGGTATGACGTTCTACTTGAATATATATCATCAATATACTTAGAATAACTTGTGTATTTTGTTCTAAACATCATTTGTATGTTCCCTTAACTTTTGCGTAATTACTGTTCGACGTATGAAAAGTGCTAATAAAAAACTATAGATGGCTCTAGTTGAATAAAATATAACTTCCAGCTTCTCTACTGAACAGTACAGCTTAATTGCAACTTAAAAAATCGGTGAGTGACTTTATTGAATGTAAATATAGTCCCACTAATTTTCTTCCAAGAAATTGCAAGATAGTAAAAAAAAAATTGAAACGTACAAACTATAGTTTGAACTATAGTTTGTTTTAGAAAAACAAAAATTACTTTCTTAATGTAAAACTGAATAGGTAAAAAAATTTTCTTTGAAATGTAACTGCATTTTTATTAGTTAATTTGTTGGTATTTTTGTGTTTTCTTTTTTTTACATTAATAATTGCTTAATTAAAAATAATCTCACAATTACTTTAACATTTTCCATTCTACTGACATCAATGTGGTAACATTCAAAAGTTCACACTTTGAAATTTAAAATTTTTTGTATCTTAATATTTTGTTACCATATTAGTTTATGATTATTAATTTTCGCAAAATAGTATTGCATCATATATTTTAAATAAATTCGTACTTAAATTATTTTAAACTACTTGAGGTGCAAAAAGTTAAGTTATAATTTCAAAAACATTAATTTCTTAATTTTGAAAATTTTATTTGTCAGTTTCCATTTGAAAAAATTGTGAGTAAACACAAGAATTTGGAAAATTTAGAATTAAATAAAATAAAAATTTAAAGATAAATTTTTCTAATTGGTTTAGCCAAAAGTTAGAGTTTTGAGAAAAATCACTCACATATATGACATTTCTAGGGCTCTTAACTTTTATATTTCTTGCATACAAAAAGTCATATTAAAATTTAAAAAAATGCTACATTTCAACAAAAAAATTTTCCTACTTATTTAGATTTATTAGAGCATTTAACACTCAACATGTACTTCCCTTATTTTCAAATATTTTAAGCAAAATCAAAAATCTCTGAAAATCAACTGAAAACATACTTTCCTTGTGTTACAACAACTAAGTGCATTGTTTTGGGAATCAATTTTTTAAAAAAAATAAAATTTTATCTTAAAAATAAAAGGAAGTCAAGGCTGCAAATATACAAAAAATTAAAATGTTTATCTACAATTCTTACAGTTAAAAAAGAATCCAACTTTTGTCACCACTTTTTGATTACAAATATCAAGACCAAAGTTTAAATATGCTTGTGGTGCCCGCAGAGTTTCATGTCCATGTACTACACATTTTCAATAGTATTTATGAATAAAATTTAACTGTTAGAAGATATAAAATGTGCTACTATTTATATAAAACTCAAAAACCGATACAACAGAAAATAGCTCAAACTAAAGGCCTCAAAAAATTTATTAGGTTCAATTAAATTAAGAATTATAGAATGACCCCTAACGTTCATACTGCAGCAAATCAAACCCCTGAGCAGTATAAAGGTCTGTATAAGTGAGAAATATTTATTATCATGCATAGCTGCCAACATGGATAGGAAAAAATTCAGTATATTTCACAAAACATAAATTTCATGATAATTGTTTCAAAATGTAGTAAATATTTTACACATAGGGAATTTCAGAAATGTTTACAGTCATCAAAATAGAAAAAACTGCAATATTTTCCAATTATGATTAACACAGGGTTGCCACAGTAAAAAATTAATAAAATAGTTGCTTTTAATAGCTGCCAAAAACTATGAAAATAGTTGCTTTTTAAATAAGAAAAAAAAATTTCAATAATATGTGTAAAATTTTATTAAATGATTAATTGCCATTAACCATGATCCATTTAGTCAAGTTGGTAGAAAATATGATAATTTTCATATAAACGTTAGTGTTCTAGCACTAAATTTTTACATCAAAAAANTATGAAAATAGCTGCCAAAAACTATGAAAATAGTTGCTTTTTAAATAAGAAAAAAAAATTTCAATAATATGTGTAAAATTTTATTAAATGATTAATTGCCATTAACCATGATCCATTTAGTCAAGTTGGTAGAAAATATGATAATTTTTATATAAACGTTAGTGTTCTAGCACTAAATTTTTACATCAAAAAAATTAGTATATTTGCAGAAAATTTAATACTTTTAACTACTAGAATTCATTCAAAAAAATATTTCTTCATTAAAAAAAACCTCCTTCTAAAAATTTTTCCCTTTCATCAATAATTGATTTAGCAAATATATTCATACATATATATTTGTGAAAAGTGATTACTCAGATCCCAAATTCACGCATCGTACTATCGCATTAAAAATTGTGCAGAATTTCGTAGCAAATAACCGTTGAAAAGGAGATTGAGAAACAAAATAGACTTACTGTGCAAATTTAGTGCATTAAAAAGTGATGACTCAAATTTGCAATTAATTTTTTTTTTATTTAAAAAAAAAAATTCATTGTGTTAAGAAGCTCTCGCAGGCCTCAAGCAGTCAACCCAATTTATGCTAAAAAAAACATCGCCAGGAGTACAGTAAAGTCTCCCAATAGTCTCCTTTTCCTGAAAATAGTTGCTTTTTAGTCTTTTCAGGCAAAAAAAAGTCGCCATAGTGGCCTATGGCCAAAAATAGTTGCAAATAGTCGCATTTTAGTTGCCTGTGGCAACCCTGTTAACATTAAATGAACTTGAAATGTTATGTATTATGTTTACTCTTAATTTTGAATAGTAATAGGCATTTATTTCATTTTTTAATTGAATTAAAAAGGGAGTTAATAAAATAAACTCAATATTTCAGATCAAACAAAGCTTTAAAAAAGTTTTTATCAACGAGGATCGCTTCATTATGTAACACTTATTTAAATATTCAAGCAAGCAATATTCAGTGCAAAAATTTCATTTCAATAGGTTTTTTTTAGAAAACTTACTCAATTTTAAGGAATTTTCAAAAATTTAAAAAAATTAGGAGAATTTTTATTAAACCAATAGACCTGGAGAAACAGGCAAAATCCAGTAGTCTATTTAAGAATCCAGTAAAGTTGGCACCTATGATCCTGTGATTTGCTAAGTTTTTGCTAAATCTAGCTGTTTCACTATAAATAAACACTCACGATAATTAATAAAAAAAAAAACTATATGTAAAATTACCCACTTAAATTTTATTTGTAATAACATGATTAGTTGGACCAAATTGAGTAATTATTTTCTTAACATATAAATTTTTCAATTTTCAGTCTGATTGATCATTTTAATCATATAGAGCAATTTTTTTCTTCAACTTATTACTTTTTTAATGATTTATCTAGTCCAAATATTTTAATATATATTACAATTTTTTTATTTTTATGAAAAGATAAAATAAAATTCTTTAAACTAAATTGTTTTTTTAAATTACTATTTAACCATGAAGATGGGTAGACAGTAATAATAAACAAAATTAACTAAAATGAATGAAAGAAAATTTTAAAAATCTTTTCAATTCAAAATATTTGTCTAACTTAAAAAATACATTGTTCATTAAATTAAACTTTAACACAATTACAGATTTAACTCTTTCTGAAAACACTAAAAACAATTTAAGAAAATTCAAATATTTGAGTTAGATAGCGTTTTTCTCTTGTTATGAAAATAGAGGGAGCTGGTTTGGAAATAAATCATCTTGTCTCTTGTAATGCTCAATTAAGTTGCCAAGTTAAAAAACATAATTCATTTTACAAGTAAATTATTACATTCAAAAAACTGCTAACAATCACTTCAACATTTCTTTCTATATTTTTATGAAAAATGATCCTGCTTCTAAAAATTCCTATATGTGCAAATATTTCCCGATAATATAATTGAAAGAAGAATCTTAATTAATCTTATCAGGATTTAATGATTTTTTTTAATAAATTACAAATTATTCAAATTAAAATTGCAAAGCATTTTAATTTAAGATAATTAAATTTTTTTAATGATTTTCAAAATTTTTAAATTTAATGTTTTATTAATTACTTTCAATTGACAAATTGCATT